AAGGACATAATCCATTTTCTATGCCAGTCATCATAATCCTTGACATACTGTTCCACACAGAGTGGGTAAGCTGTAAAAAGAGCCTTGAAAAGTGTTCTATAAATACATTATTATGCATATAAAATCTGTCCAAAATGGACACCAAGGACAAAATTAAAAGAGGAAAAGTGGGAGAAATTACAGAGGGTAACATAACACCTGAAGGGTATGTGTGGAGCAGGGAAAACACGATGCCACTGGGGAGCCAGCCCCTGGGCCCCCTTCCCTCCACTTCATTTCAAGTAGACTTTTATTATATCCATTTTACAGCTGCAAATTAGAAGCTTAGAGAGATTAAATTATTTGGTAGAATTCGAACTACAAGTCTTTTTGACTATAGAGACCAAGCTGGTAATAACTGTGCTACTCTGCCTCTAATAATATTCACCATTTGTTTTTTAGCAAACCCAATTCAGATTACTTAGCCTGTGTTTCATATTTTAGGGCATGCATGGGTGTGTAGAATTTCAGGTTGGGAAGTATTTAAAAAATCTGGCTATATTTTTTTTTCCTGAGCTAGGTTTTGCGTGATAACTTTTAGAAGTAAAAAAATTCTTTCACTATTTAAAAAATCTGGCTATATATTTTCCTGAGCTAGGTTTTGTGTGATAACTTTTAGAAGTAAAAAATTCTTTTACATGAAACTTAAAATATTGTCAACAAAAACCAGTTCCTTAACCAGGCAGCATTACTATAAACACCATAGTAATTTATATTTCTTCTGCTATATTACACATTAAATAGCTGCATTGTCTCTTCAGTGTGAAATTGCTCTGTTTTTTAACTTACCCTGTCTACTATTTCCTACTCCTTCTATTAGGGATGATTTCAACCTGCCCAGGTTTCAGCAATACTTTTTGATTCACCTGAGAAAAATGTTATATTTTTTCAGTATTTTTTTCCTGAAGTATAGTTGATTTACAATATTGTGTTAGTTTCAGGTACACAGTAAAGCAACTTATATATATATGATGTCATTTATAAGTATGAATACCTTCATGGAGGAAAATTAGATTAGAAAAGCAAAAATAAGAAAAATTCACCCTTAATCCCACCATCTTGCTGTAACTACTATTAACATTTAGCGTGGTACCTTTCAGACCTTTTGTGCAAATCTATGTAAATAATTTCTTTCTCTCTTTTTGCAAAAATGGGTCACTCTGTTTTCTTGCTTGCCTTTTTTCACTCAACAATACATTAGAAGCATATTCCCATGTCATCAGATATATATTTACATAATCATTCAAAATGACCATTTAGTATTCCATTTATGAATATACTATATGATATTTTGCCAAATACTTCTTCTCAAACATCTAAGTTGTTAGATTTCCCCCTGTCCCTGAATTCTAACTGTCCTGAGTCCATTACTGTTCTAAGGATTTAATTTGGATACAAGAAGAATCTGAGATTATTCTTTAACTTCCACCTTACAACAACTTCTATGTGTAGCTAAAGAAATTATCTGGGTTGATATAATACCAAAGCCTTAAAAGTGACAGTTTCTTCTAAAAAACAGAGAATGAACACCATGGAGACAATTGGCAGAAATATTTTTCCGTTCTTTTCTCAACATAATTTTTGCTGTCAACGAGGAAGCCTTGTGAAAAACAGAGAACTTAGTAAAGGTGAAGTGGAAAGATGAGGTTTGGAGCCAGACAGTCTGGCTTTGAATCTGGTTTCTGTCACTCACTATCTGGGGGACCTTAGAGGAGTTGTTTAGCCTAAGTCTTTGTTTTCTGATATGTAAAATAGGGATAAAATATTTATTTCATAAATTACCAGGAGGATTAGCAGTATCATATGTAAAGAGCCTAACACAGTGCCTGATACAAGAGTATACAATAGCCATACTAGCTATTTTACTATTTTACCTTTTCCTTAACGTACCAAGGAAACTGCATATTTTCAGAAATGTCACTAGCTTAAATGTCTTTGATAAGAATCGTGAAGTAGCTTGCTGATAAGAACAGAACGATCACTAGAGTGGTAAGCAAGATACTGTTACCAGAAGTGTTTGTTCCAGCTTCTGAAGAACACTGAGCAATGGGATCACAATGTGGTTCTTGGCATACTGTGGTTTCAGTGATGAATTTCAGATATAGGCTAGAGAAGGAACACCAAGCCCTTGACCTTGCCTTTATGAAATTTATGAAAGGATTTAAAAGCACCACTGGACACACATTCTGGTAGCTAGTAAACAAGTTTTGGCTATGTGAAAATGACTATTGGATAACTTCTACAATGTTCACTATTGGCCAAAATGGACATATTGTCCTGTCTTATGGACTAGGATTCATTTTGAGGTTCTCAAAGATGACTCCACGGTTCTCTGTAAAAACTTGCCTTGTCCTACAGCCTCAACAGGGAAGAGCAACTCAAGACCATTTCAAATGAAAAGACATAATAGGGGAAAGTAGGAACAGACAGGGCAAGGTGCTGAGTAGGATCAGAAACAAGGTGACTCGAGAACAAAGTCTACAGATAATGAATTTTAGGCAGATTTGCAAATAAGGATAGTACATGCTCTGTAAATAGCAGTTGTTGCCACAAGCCAAAGGGCAATATTTACATGAATCGGTGGCAAGGTCTGTGGACCAAGCCTTGACCTTTCCAGCCAAACTTATACTTAGTAGCACTTTCAGCCAAACTTATACTTAGTAGCACTTTCAGCCACGTCATCTTGCAAAGGAAGGATCACATAATACATACATGGAAAATTGCCAAATACAAATATATTTTGTTCCCCCAAATTAATTTCTAAATTCTTTTTTTTTTTTCAGAACTGGGAACACATGTTCCCACAGAAAAGGTGTTATGAAAGTATGTGAGCTCCCCACATCTCCTCACAAAAGTGCATTTAGACCACTACTTTAACTGAAATACCATACCCTGGAAATGAGAAAATCAATTGAATAAAGTACCCTTGCAAGCAGGAACACATCAATACACAAGGAATATTTCTTGAGACTTTCTTTGTGGATGCCCCAGGCAATGAAGAGGGGAATTCTATCCTCCCATAGTTGCAATTTGGTGATAAAGAACTCTTCCATTGCCCTTGTCTGGAAGGGTCCTTCTCAAGTCAGGTGGATGCATCCTTCTCTGAAGGGGCTTCTTGAACTTTCCCACCAGACAACTTAGTGAGTGAGGAGACTGAACAGCTAGTGGGGAAGGGGTAGGATATTCAATTAGAAGTTTCAAGCTATCATTTGGAGACACTTCAAACTCTGCAGTTCATTCTTTAATACATTTGCATATTTTAATTTAAAAAATAGTGTTTAGAATGACCTGTCAAGTAAATTAATTCCATCCCACTTTTGGATTGCAGTTGATGCTTCAGAAATAGGAACGATTTTTAATATTGAGACTCCATATACCTGTTGGATAGTACACATGTGTACTTCAGGGTGAGAAATGTAGGCACTAGGAGCAAAATCTAAAGTAAATGAGAAGAACATAATGAAAGAAAAATCAGAGAAAAGCTAGCACCACCAGCCTGTCCTTTCTTCTCAGCGGCACACTACTTCCACCTTCTGTGTTTTGCTCTTTGCTCTTTCATTTTCTCTGCTTAAAACCAGTCCCAGGACAGGATCTCACACTCGTTCACACTAAGGTGTAAATGATCAACAATAGCCGAAATGTCACATGGTCTTTGGACATTAACGAGTCACAGCTTTAAAACAAAAAATGAATTTAGGGTACTATCCCAAGGAGAAAGGGATGTATTTGGGGGGTAATTGTGTGCTTTCCCGCTTTTTGCAGAAATCACACTCGATTTCAGATTCATAATTTAGGAAGGTGTTTTGAGGGAAATTAATCATGACTTCTTTCCACTTTGGAAAATACTTGCTTCTTTTCGGAAATTTTAGTTTTGTGATTGTTGCTTGGTATACTGTGTTCTATATGTTTTGCTATCTTTTTTCCCTAATGACTGAATTTTAAGACTAAGATGTAAATCTTCCTGTTATTGATCAAAATAAATGGGTGGGGAGAAACAGAAACAATAATATTTAATAACTGATATTTGCATACCCTTTACGAAATTCCTTTGTACCCACGATCATGCTACTAAATAACAACAGGGATATGAATAAAACAAACCCCACAATAACTCAATCTAATTATTAATATTAGGCACCTAACATGAATTGCCCCAGGCTCTGTGGGGACCTTGACCTTGCCCCCCAGGACTTTTAAAATTCAGGAGTGAACACAAAAGAAGGGCTTCTGTACACTGGCCATCTAAGAGATAGCAGAGTTGAAAACAGATCGAGTCACGCTTTGCCTTGTAAGTGAACGTCTGCAGCTGCATTCAAGACATTCAAGGAATGCTTCTTTTGCAGAATTTACAAAGGTGGGAAAGGCACCACCAGTTTCCCCTTTGGGAACCTCGGAAAGGGCAGTCCCCTGAGGGGTTCTGGGCTTGCAAATGGTGAGACAGACCTTCTACAGTACAGTTATAAGCAGAGGAAAAGTTCTTTGTGCAAGAAGGGGAGAGCGCCCCGAGGTACAAAGAGCAGATTTAAGGGGAAGAGGATTCCTTCTGCACACATCTGCGAGGGGAGCTTGGGCTGGCTGTTGGGGGCGTGTGGGGAACGAGATTTTCAGGGGGCCGCGGGCTGGGGGTTCCCGCCCCCACCCCTGTCCGCGCCCCACGTTCAGGCAACAGTTGGTCGTGCGGGGCCGCCCGGGCTCCGAGTGGGGAGGGGGAGTCTCGCGATCGTTCGGGGGGGGGCGGAGGAAGGGGGGAGGGTGACGGGGGGGAGGCCATGACGTAGGGTGGGTGGACGGAAGTGGGGCAGGGTTGAGGGTTATTTAAAGAAGGGGGGCCCGAACGAAGGGGTTGGAAGCGAGTGATTCCCCACCCCTGCTCCATCCAGCTCGTTCCAGTGCAGACACTGCCGCCGCCCCGGAGCCCTCGTCCCCTTGCTCGTCCCCCTCCTCGTTCCCGCTCCAACGCCATGGAGCCGGACACCGCCGCAGTGGCAGGCACCGTGGCAGCCTCTGATGCGACCGCCGCGATCGTGCTCATAGAGGACGATCAGCCGGGGCCGTCCACCTCTAAGGAGGAGGGAGCGGCCGCCGCGGCCACCGAAGCCACCGTGGCCACGGAGAAGGACGAGAAGAAGAAGGAGGTAAATAGGAAGGGGGTGTGTATGCGGTGGACAAATCCTGCGCCGGGCCCCTCCGAGGGGCCCAAACCTTGACCTTTGGGCGCCGACAGGTACCCGCAGAGCTCGGCGGGGCTGGGGGCGGCGGGCGCGCGGGGTGGGGGCGGCGGAACAGTCTCGGCTTCGCTCCCCTCCCCCTTCCCTTCTCGCCGCCGGGAGGGCGGGGGCGGGGCGGGGGCGCGGCGCGGGGTGGCTGGTTCCCGTTATCCCGGGGCTGGGGGGCTGGGGAGCCCCCCAACAGCCCCCGACCCCCTTCGCGTTCCCGGAACTGGGGTAACGGGGTGGGGGATGGGGCCGTGCAGGAAAAAGCCTCCGCCTCTCCCTCTCCTCTCGCTCTCTCTCCCCCTCTTCCCGTCGGCCTCTGCCTGGGAAATCTGGGCCCTTCAATCCCACACTCGCGCAAAAGGGGTTTTGCTGGAGGCTTATTTTTTTAAAATTTGAATTTCCAGGTGCCGGTGGTGGGGAGGCGGAGGACGAGAGGAGAGACTTTTCCATCTTTGATTGGCAGTGTCGGCCCCTTGGGTGGCAGGGAAAAAAGGAAAAAAATTCATCTCTTGTTCCTTTGGTCCCCGCCTGCTGAGTGAGGCGGGGGTGTCACCCCGAGAAAATGAGCTCTCGGCGTTGTACCCCCGCCCCCTTCCAATCCAAACCCCAAACTGAGGCACCGTGGACGCTGACTTAGGAAAATTTCCAACGTGTGCACCCTCACCCTCTCCTGCCCCGCCCCCGACGGTATAGTGTTTCACTCCAGGGCCACCCAAATGGTCCCCCAATCCGGCCCCAAGCCTTCCAGGCTTCCGCCTCTCTTTCCTAGTGGGCGCTGCTGGCTCCTGGACACACGCAGGGTTTTTTTTAAAACATTTTTTTAAACTCAGCCTCGCCAGGATGAACTGCTGCTACTGTACATAAGGGGACCGCTCTGACACCTATTAAAGCCAGATCCAGAAAAATGTGTATTATCTCCGTAAGGCATATGTCGTATGGACCGAGACGTGCAAATAAAATCTAGGAAACTTGCTGAAAAATTAAGATAAAGAATAGGATGAGGCATAAGGATGTTTCATGTATAATAAAATTGCTTATGGCTGGATTTTTTTCCATTTACGAGTAGACATATCGCAATTTAAATAAAAGGTAGGTAATGAGAATTATGCTTTAGCAATCTCCAGTGGCTTTGTCTGAATCATTATATGATACTATACGACCAAATGAAAAGCTTTTGAGGGAAATTAACACCTTTCGCTCTGAATTAGAGTAATTTTAAATTCAGCAGTTGCTTAAGTGACATATTTTACTATTACAAGGTTGACTAAACAGAAAGACAATTGTAGTGCTAAGTGAAAACCATAGAAAACATACGCATTTTAAGATCTGTGTGGTACTTGATCGGTAAGACAAACAATATCAGTGATTAAAGCTGGGCTAAATATAAATCAATATAAATCAATGTTGGGAAATTCAGCAGCGTGTCTAGGTGCCTTTTATTCCCTAGACTGGACGAATGTAAGTGCTCACCCGTCTTTTGTATGGCAGTCAAGGTTCTCGAATCTCCAGGGTGTATTAAATTTTTTGGATTGGGAAGAGATTGGGAATCAATAGAAAACCTGTATAATCACTGAGTTGAGGCATAGATATTGATATAACTCTGTGGCCTCATCAGAAATTGCCCTAATAGTACCTCATTTGTCCGTTCAGCACAGGGAAATGAGATGCTGCCTGGAACTTACTTCCTGGATATCTGAAGTTTACTACTTTAGTCACTGCTTTTTTATTTTTAATTTTTCGTTGAAAATCTGAATAGCCAAAACATCTGCTTAAGTGCTTTCATTTGTACCATTCCTTCAAATAAAGTAATCTGGTACCTCCCCCCATTCTAAATATTTACACGCTGCCTTGACGCCTTAACTGGTGTCCTAAAAGTACAGATTAAATGCCTTTTTCTTACATGTGTCAGTTATTGTACTCTGACAGTGATACAAAGGCATTTAAGACCTAGGAGGTTGTTTCCCCTCAATTAAATAACTATCTCCCATACACTTCAATATTGTGTTGATTTTTTTCCCATAATTTTTCAGTCTCCTCCCTCAATTGTCAGACTGTTGCCCAGTCACTCAGTGGTGTCCAACTCTTTGTGACCCCATGGACTGCAGCATGCCAGACTTCCCTGTCTTTGGCCATCTCCCAGAGTTTGCTCAGACTCATGTCCATTGAGTTGTTGATGCCATCCAACCATCTCATCCTCTGTTCTGATAAAGGACATAGATGTAACAAAACATTTCAGATAAAACAAATGTAAAATACAGAATTACAAGTGATCCACCAGGGGGAGGGAAATCACCTGAACGCCCGGCAGAAGGGCTATTCCTGCAGTGGAACTGAAGTTCCAGTCCCTGGTTTTGGCCATTCCTCTTGCTGTTGCCAGGGTGTCGTCTTCAAGTGGTGGTTCCCAAGTCGTTTGCTGCTGCTTTTACTCTCTGTAGAATGGGAAGCCAGGTTATCAATCATGCTGAAATTGTGTGTATATTAAATAAAAGAAAATAGTCTCTGAATGAGAGCATTTTCATGATGCATAAAGTAGATGAGAGTGGATTGTCTTCTGAAATTTAGCTAAGAAGGGTATTTTTGCTTACCTTCTGGTTCTTTTTTTTTACCTTCTGGTTCTTGAACTTCCTTTTTCTAAGTGACAGTTGGATAACCCAACGCCATGAAAATTGGAGTTGGTATTTTTGGTAATAAAAATGTCAAGAAAAAGGTCATGGTCTTTAAAACAGGACATCTTGGTGACCTTGTGTTGCATTCTTATAGCATCTAGACTACCAGATGAGAAAACCCATAAGGAATTCATTAGAATATCTTAGTCACCTTTTATATTTCCTGGGATGAGAGGTATATTTGCAAAAACATACACATACAAAAATGGGAAGATTTTGAAGGTAGATATTTTAAAATTTGTTGTGAAAGATAGTGCCAATTAAGTAATTGCCTACTGCTTTAAATGGCAATGCTCATGATTAGGAATTTTAATTATCATATAATTAAAATTTTATGATATTCTGCTACAAGGTAAGGAAAAAGTAACAAGTGTTTTTCGAATAGTAAAGCTTTAGCTTTCTGTAAGTGAAATTTGCATTCCACATTATTAGATATATACTTAGGTATTTGAGGAGAGGTAATTTTTGAAACTTGTAGATTTCATTTAGCTTTTCAAGGAACGATAAAGGATTTTCTTATCCAATTTTCTTTACTTTTTGCTTTGAAAATAAAAGAGGGTTTCTAGCATATGTGACAGTTTGAAAGTGTGGTATTGAGGGCATTTGAGTAGTTTCTATTCTCATCCATCCATAATTACATTCAAAACATCCCACATATATACGTATGAGATGCTGTAAATCAAGACGGCTGTTATTGGGGCTAAGAATAACTGGACAGTATCTAATCAGTGCTCCAAAGGAGAACCCTGATCAGGGTCAAATTCCATGATCTTAGTTTGGATTTCCTCAAAATAGAAATTTTAATAAATGTTGGAAAACATTTATTAACTACCGGAGCCAGATTTTTCTTGTTTAAGATCACATTCTTCTGTTGATTTATGACCCAAGCTTTTAGGAACATGCTGTTAAAAGTCATGCTCAAATGGACATAATTTCTTTAGTTTTCACAGATTTGTGTTTTGACTTTGCAGTCTGTTAAAACTCAAATGCCCTCCACTTTGGTACTAATGGGTAGATTTATATTTTTATTATTTTATTTCTTGATTTCTTACAGGGATGGAGGTATATTCTACATATCTGTTTATAAGTACAAGCTTGTCTTTAAAAAGGATTGGGTACCTGACATAACCCCCTAGATAATTTCAGTATTTTAAAGTAGCTGATTTATGTTACTATTCATTAAATTACAGTGTTTTAAATATCAAAGGTTAATAATTAATAGCCCTGAGAAACTGCTTCTACAAGATATTCATCTATATACTTTTAAAAGGTTTTCTGTCCAGTTGGAGAAAATTAACATAAACCAGAAGTTTGAAACTACTGTTTCATTGTTTCAAATATAAATGATCATACTGCAGTATGTAAAAGTTTTAATGTTATAATTAAAATATAAAAGCAATATTAAAAAATTACATCTTTTCAGGAGCAGAAACCACAGTCTTTTCTCATGAAAGTTTGGCTTGTTTCCACTACATAAAGAAGCACCTTTGAGAATTAATATTTACTTTCCTTGAATTCTTTGGTTTGTGGTTGAAAATGTCCTAGGTTTTGAATCTCCTCTTGAGTGGTTATGCATGCACTTCTTTCACTTTGCACAATAGGTGAAAAGGCTCATTTTCCCACCTTTTGGTTTTTATTTTAATTAGTATTATTTCTCTGGCTTTACAATTCTTTGGATATTTTTTTAATTGGACCTCAGGTGCACAGAACTGGATTAATCATAAGCCCTGTTCATGACATGCTCTCATCATTGGTCCATGCATGGCCCATGTGGATTTATTTATTTAGTATTTAATTACTTTTTATTTTCTTCAAATGAGAATGCTGACCTTGCTTTGCAATTTGATGATTTATTTTCTTTGAAATTCTAGAAAAACGTTTCTCCATTTCAACTCAAACTTGCTGTTAAAGCTTCTAAATCTGAAAAGGAAATGGATCCAGAATATGAAGAGAAAATGGTAAATATGTTCTTGGGTAGAAGAGTGAATACAGTAGTTAATTTTTATAGAGGAGATGTGAAAGATTAAAAAATACATGTGTGTGTATGATGAATACAGAATCATAGACTTTAGAATTGAAAAGCAATTTAATATATAATCCATCATAATAGATTTTTGTTGGATAAATGAATCTCCTCATTTTCAGATGAGGAAATAGAGTATCAGAGAAATGATATGGAATAGTTGAGACCAGAAGCCACATCTCTTCATTTTTGTTTAGCCCTCTTTACGCCATAATAGGATGTTTTATGCTAGAAATATTTTATCCACAAAGTGAAAATATAAGTGGCAATATCAGTATGGCTGAGAGAAAGCAGGTCACAAAACCAGCCTGGTATTTTTTTTTCCTCTCTCTCTTTTTGCTCTGGATAGGTGAATGAATGCTCCATATTATGAAACATGTAATATATCTTTTTGAGGGAAAGCTAATTGCCCAGTGTATGAAAATATTACACATTTAAGCAATATAACCTTAGATATACCTACCTGGTGCTTTGCTGTACATTTCATTATTTAATTTTTACTCACCCAAACCCATATTTTAGCTTTAATTTTAACTGGACTTTTATGCCTTGGGATCTTTCAAAACCAGTGAACTTGGTTAACTGAAAAGAGAAATAAATGGGTAGTTGGAACTGAATTTTTTTTTTGTCAAGGGGTTATTTTTGAAAGTAAGTAGAGATGAAGTACATTTTTCGGTCGTTTGTAGTGATTTTTACAGAACTCAGTCCCTTAACGCTTAAGGCCACATCTACCGTGGACAAGTTAATGTTTTAACAACTCTAGAAACAACATTCCAGTGAGGATAACATAAAATGGAAAGATTTTGGCCTCCTTCCAGCTACTGGTCTGAATGTATTTGTCTAATTCTTGTATTTATGGTAATGAATTCTTGGAAGATTCTTATGTTATTAATTATGCATCCTTCATTGGTAATCAAATATTGTCTACCCTGTGGTTAGAAAGTGACTGGGAATTAAAAAATCACCTTCGTTTTTTTCTTTATCTAGAATTATAAATAGTCTTTTGATCTTTTAAGATGTTTTTAGTGAAAAAATGTTATTGCATTTATTTGTATAAGCTATATGACCTTTTAAAATTTGTTTAGAATTTATAACATACACTTTTGAATTGCTAATGTGTATTAACTGTTTCAGTTATATGTGTGTGTGTATATTTTTTCTCTTAAGTCCTCACTTTCGGGAGAAACTTTATATACTTTTAGCATAAACCACAATTCTGCAGATCACTATACTTGAAGAGAGAAATGTATTATACCAAATCATTGAAAATATTTTGAGAGAAGATGACACTGTATTCTGAGTTTTAAATTATTTCTAGATGAAAATTCTTGGCTTTCCAAACCATTCAGAATTTGCTTTTTGACCCCAATACTTTAAGCAGAATACTTATCATTGAGGCATTTATTAAGCCTGGCAGATCACTTGGCTTCTATTCAAACAATCTGAAAATACCATTTCCAAATTCTCCTTATTAGCTGTGGGAGCTTGGGCAAGTTACTTACTCTCTGTGGGCCTCAATTTTATTTTTTATCATCAGTAAAATGGGGATAATACTAGTACCTACCTCATAGATTTATTAAAAGAATTAAATGAGTTAGTATGTTCAAAGTATTTAGAGTGTAGTACAAATTAAGTGCAATGTGTGTATTTGTTAAATTTTGAAAGAACACAAAAGGAAATCATTACTTTTTCTTTTGTCTTGTAAATTAGAAAGCAGATCGAGCAAAGAGATTTGAATTTTTACTGAAGCAAACAGAGCTTTTTGCACATTTCATTCAACCTTCAGCACAGAAATCTCCAACATCTCCTCTGAACATGAAATTGGGACGCCCTCGAATAAAGAAAGATGACAAGCAGAGCTTAATTTCTGTTGGAGAGTATGTTGGCATCTCTCTAACTTTCTTCCCTCCTTTCCTCCTGCCCTTCATACTTGCCTTCCTTCTTCATGTATTTAGTGTGATTTTATATCCAAAAAACAAGGTTATCACCTGTGTAAATATGTTTTAGAGACATTATATTTTTTTCTCAATAGAAGTCAACCAATAAAAATGTCAGCTGGTTTTATCAACTTTTGTGCAAGACTCTAGATAACTTTTTTTTCATAAAAGATATTAACAGAATATACTGACTTAATTGGCACCTTAGCATTTGGATTGAATATGAAGATACTTCTTTTTCTGTTTCAGCTACCGTCACAGGCGCACAGAACAAGAAGAAGATGAAGAGCTCCTCTCAGAGAGTCGGAAAACATCCAATGTGTGTGTTAGATTTGAAGTGTCACCTTCGTGTAAGTACCTCATCATATTGATGTTTTTTGTTTTCAGTTTAGTTTTAGAAAAATTTTACTTGGTTGTACTAATGAAAGTATGTGAGCCTTGATTTTTTTTTTTTTCAGATGTGAAAGGAGGACCACTGAGAGATTATCAGATTCGAGGACTGAACTGGTTGATCTCTTTGTACGAAAATGGAGTCAATGGTATTTTGGCTGATGAAATGGTAAGGAGTTGGTAGCTAAAAACACATTCTCATTTATCAATAATTTTATGTAAATCTGAAATACCCGAGCTGAAATTCCCACCTGCCCTGGAGTTTGGAGGCTAGATGTTTTATTTAGCTGTAACATACAAGGTATTTGTAAAGTCTAGAATTGTTTAACCTCTGGAACATATGCTTTCACAGGCCCCCAGATTTGTTATTGAAATTTCCTCAAATGGTATTAAAAAAAAACCTCCTTGTACTTTTGTCGGTATTTGCACTTTGGTTTCCAAGGAGCTCAGAACTATAGTGAACGCCGAAATGGAACATCTGTGTAACTTTTAATGGTCTGCCCATTGTGTCTTTTGTGCCTTTTCCTATTCTTTACCTTTTACTTTCCTTGGCCCTCTTTATTTCTCTTTGACCATTAATTTATGTTCCATGTTTTCATTGTAGGCTACCTGAAATCCTTTTGGGACTGAGGTGGGGCTAAAAGCCAAACGCTAAATGAATGAATGCATGCATGAGTGAATGTAAATGCCTCTGTGTGTGATCAAACGAAGTGTGAATAGATGGAATAAAGAACAAAAAAGTGAAGAGCAGTATTGAGTCTTGATATAGTAGAGTGCCAGCTGGGTCAGGAAATGAGCTGAGAATTGATGGGAGGTATAGTCGTCCCTCCATATACGGGGTAGATTGGTTCAGGGACTCCCCGTGGATACCAAAATCTGTGGAAGCTCAAGTCCTCATGTAGAATGGCATAGCACAGTTGGGCCCTCTGCGGATTTTGATCTGCAGTTGGTTGAATACCTGGATGTGAAAGCTGGGGATTCTGAGGGTGCACTGTGTTAAAAAAAAAAAAAGGACCAAAAAGAAAAAGTAAGGCCATTTAAAATGCTAATTCAGCAGGTCAGAGGAGTATATGAAGACTTCGTTTGACATTTTAAGACCAAATATATACGGTGTGGGTTAAGAGAGGGCAGTGATACTCCTATTTATGACTCCAGAGCCGTATTTGCAATCACTTGTCCATATGAGCCACATGACTATTTATGCTCCATAGCTTGTAGTGTAGTAGTTGGTTCCATAAGTACTCATCCCTGGCTAAGCAACTGGTAGGTGTGTGGCAGGTCCTTTAAATCCAGGGTCTGGAACTCCTTACGTTTAGTATTCTGGGTTGAAAACTGCAGTCAGCTCGTGCAGGAAGGAGCTTAGTTAATTGTTTGCAACCCCATGGACTGTAGCCCCCCAGGCTCCTCTGTCCATGGGATTTCCCAAGCAAGAATACCAGAGGAGGGTGCCATTTCCTTCTCCAGGACAAGGGGAAGACCAGGATTATTTGCCCCAAGCTCTTGGCTGCAGCCTGTCTAAACAGGAATTAATTAAAGACCTTTCATATTGAATTTATGCCGATACCAATTATGTTTTAATTATTAAAAAGGAGAAAGTTTAATGATGCTAGAAAATTTGGGGAAAAAAATCAGGAAAAAATTTAAAGTAAGTTTTATTTTTATTACCTAGAAACAACAACACATAACAGTTTGCATATTTCTTTTTAGTCTTTTTCCTCTGGTTTTATTTATTTTTCATATTTGAGGTCATATTGTATATATGATTTGGTATTCTGATTTCTTCACATTCGTACATATTTTCCATATAATTAAAACATTTTGGTAAAAATAATTGTTAATCACTGCATAATAATTAATTCTAGGAAGGTAACATAATTTTATTCATTTCATATGGATTGGTTGATGTATTATATATATATAGTATGTATAATATATATGTATATAGTATATATTGGTCTATATATATATAATCTACTTGATGTCTAATAATACTGTTATGAGGAACCTTGTAATTTAGTTTTCTGCACCTCTCAGATTATTTCCATAGTATTTCTAGAAGCAGAATTACTTGGTTGAGGAGTATAAACATTTTAAGATTTTTTTTTCATTTTAAGATTTTAATGCATAGCATCCATAAAACCCATCTCATAAGTAAAATGTCAGGCAGGATAAAGCCTATAAAAATAGCTTTTAGCTTAGGTTTATAAAAGAAATATATACCTTGATTAGAGACGAAGTCAGAAAGTGTTTTAAGAGGTCATGTGACATAGAACATAGTTCTTTTTCCCGTAGGTTAGGTAGTGGGTTCATGGGTGTTCGGTATATTATTTTTCTTAAAAAGTCACCTGGACTAGGTGATTCCTAGGTTCCTTTCTGGCTACAAAGTTCTTTTATGTTTTGTTCCCTTATGATTCCTTAGGTCTTCAAGGGTATGAGATGCGAGTATAGAGCTATAGACCTCTTGAGATGCAGAGTCTGACTATTTCAAACCTGGGCTGTAATAATGTTGAAGACAATGGGAAAGAAAGAGTGGTATCTAAGCAGGCTGACTGGGCTTCCCTGGTGGCTTAGTCTGTGAAGAATTCGCCTGCAGTGCAGGAGACCTAGGAGATGCGGGTTTAACCCCTGGGTTGGGAAGATCCCCTGGAGAAGGAAATAGCAACCCATCCCAGTATTCTTGCCTGGGAAATCCCATGGACAGAGGAGTCTGGAGGGCTATGCGTGTCCAACGTTTTGTGACTAAACCACCACCACTAACACCATGCAGGCTGATAAAGGAAATGTGTCTTTGTGAAATACACAAAATTCCTAATTTTGCAAAGTAGTAGAAAAAATGATAGGTGTTGCTCACTCCTTTAGGAGTAAAAATCTCCTAAATAGAAAATTGCTTTGTTGAGCAACTTTCTAACTGCAAGTTCTTGGCTGCTTTTTGTGCTCAGCCAAAGTATTGAATTGGAATGGTTATTCACTTAAAAAAAAGTCTTTTAACTTTTCCCAATGTGAGATACTTAGCAGATATCTTTTGTAATGTTGCTACTAACAGATGTTTCATTAAATAAAAAATGATTATGGATTTTTTTCTCTGTGTGCAGGGTCTTGGTAAGACTTTACAAACGATTGCTTTGCTTGGTTACCTGAAACATTACCGAAACATTCCTGGACCTCACATGGTTTTAGTTCCAAAGTCGACTTTACACAACTGGATGAACGAGTTTAAGCGATGGGTCCCATCTCTTCGTGTTATTTGTTTCGTTGGAGACAAGGATGCGAGAGTAAGTGAGAAACAGGTTTTAAAAGGCAATCAAGAATAACAACATTTCTGGGGTTAAATTTTGTTGCTATAAAAGACATTTGAGTTGACTACTACTACTGAAGAACACTTAAATTGTGCTTACTCTGTGTTAGATTCTTTTGTAAGTGCTTTTTTTAAATACCACATTATTTCTTGTTATTGACTTTTGTGTGTATCTCTGTCAATGTACTTATACATTTTTTAAAAATTGGAATATAGTTGCTTTCCAGTGTTGTGTTTCTGCTGTACGGCAGAGTGAATCGGTTATATATATACATATATCCCCTCTTTCTTTAAAATTTCCTTCCTATTTAGGTCACCACACAGCATTGAGTAGAGTTCCCTGTGCTATATAGTAGGTTCTCATTAGTTATCTATTTTATACATAGGGGTGTATATATGTCAATCCCAATATAACTCATCCCACCCCCGCTTCCCTCCTTGGTATCCATATGTTTGTTCTCTACATTTGTGTCTCAATTTCTGCTTTCAGATAAGTTCATCTGTACCAGGTAAGCACTTTTAATATATTAATTGAGCTAATTCTCACAACACTCTTCTGAGGTAGATGTATTACCTATTCATAACAGAAAATCCGTTATTATGCTTATTTGCATTTACTTTTAACTAGCTCATTAATCTAAGCACTTTTGAGTTGCACTGAGTGACTTTTTATTTAAAAAAATCTTATTTTATTGACCATCTATTTTATCAGTGATTCTATCATTTGTGCTATTTTGATGCCGAAAGTGTATGAGTTTGCATTTCAGTTTAATTTTTTTACTTTTGATTTTGACTTGTTTACATCCACACATGCACATGCAGACACACGTGAATGGAACCTTTTATCCTTGTACAGAGAACCTTGTGTTTTGTGTTTGTGCATAGACATAGCTTTCAGTTTTGATCTTTGAATAGAAGAATAGGTGTCTGCATACATTCTTAGAAAATATTAGAAATTAAGGGTTCTTGTTTAAATTAACTATTTGTCAATCTAGTAGGCTACAATTATTTTAGGACTGTTGAATTAATCTAAAAATAATGAATTATGCAAAAATACCAAAATGAATAATCAGCTTAGAAAGCATATTATTAAACTTGGTCTTTATTTTGCCTCCAGAGAACATAGTTTGGAGTAAAGATTTATTCTATTTTACATATTTAGATAGGTTATCAAAAAATATTCTCAAAAGAGTGGTAACATAATGAATTATGTAAGTTTATTCTTATCATTTTGCTTGAAGAAAAATTACTTAAATTTATTTAAATTTAACTTATAAATAATTTAAATACTGAAATACTGAGATCATAAATTTAGAATTACAGGCTTGATTCTTCCCTATGCCTCATATTTTCCAGTAGCAAATTAGTCACTTAGAACTCTTTCTGATCTCTGCTATTATTTAAATGTAATACCATTCCTTATAAAAATTTTGTATTTCCAAATTACTGATTTGTTTTGCTGTAATTTTCTTGAAGATCATAGATATTGAAAAATATCTGGGCTTGTGTTTTCATCATGTCTTAAGTCAGTTTAGTTGCTCAGTTGCGTCTGACTCTTTGCGACCCCACGGACTGCAGCACACCAGGCTTTCCTGTCCATCACCAACATGTATGCCAGTGGTTTTCGATTTTATTATATGGAATCCATGGGCTCCATGAAGTGTCTCTGGGAGTTTTCAAGAAAGAGTGGATTTAATTGGTTAATGCCTTGTCTCTTTTTTCTTTCTTTTTAATATAAATTTATTTATATTAATTGGAGGCTGATTATTTTACAATATTGTAGTGATTTTGCCATATGTTGACATGAACCCACCACGGGTGTACATGTGTTCCCCATCCTGAACGCCCCTCCCACCTCCCTCCTCATCCCATCCTTCTGGGTCATCCCAGTGCATCAGCCCCAAGCACCCTCTCTCATGCATCAAACCTGGACTGGCGATACATTTCATATGTGATAATATACATGTTTCAATGCCATTCTCCCAAATCATCCCACTCTCGCCCTCTCCCACAGAGTCCAAAAGACTGTTCTATACATCTGTGTCTCTTTTGCTATCTCGCATCTTTCTAAATTCCATATATATGCATTAGTATACTGTATTGGTGTTCTTCTTTCTGGCTTACTTCACTGTATAATAAGCTCCAGTTTCATCCAACTCATTAGAACTGATTCAAATGTATTCTTTTTAATGGCTGAGTAATAGTCCATTGTGTATATGTACCACAGCTTTCTTATCCATTCGTCTGCCAATGAACATCTAGGTTGCTTCCATGTCCTGGCTGTTATAAACAGTGCTGCGATGAACATTGGGGTGCACGTGTCTCTTTCAATTCTGGTTTCCTCAGTGTGTATGCCCAGCAGTGGGATTGCTGGGTCGTATGGCAGTTCTATTTCCAGTTTTTTAAGGAATCTCCACACTGTTTTCCATAGTGGCTGTACTAGTTTGCATTCCCACCAACAGTGTAAGAGGGTTCCCTTTTCTCCACACCCTCTCCAGCATTCATTGCTTGTAGACTTTTGGATAGCAGCCATTCTGACTGGTGTGTCATGGTACCTCATTGAGGTTTTGATGTGCATTTCTCTGATAATGAGTGATGTTGAGCATCTTTTCACGTATTTGTTAGCCATCTGTATGTCTTCTTTGGAGAAATGTCTGTTTAGTTCTTTGGCCCATTTTTTGATTTGGTCATTTATTTTTCTGAAATTGAGCTACAGGAGTTGCTTGTATATTTTTGAGATTGATTCTTTGTCAGTGCTTTGTTTGCTATTATTTTCTCCCATTCAGAAGGCTGTCTTTTCACCTTGCTTATAGTTTCCTTTGTTGTGCAAGAGCTTTTAAGTTTAATTGGGTCCCATTTGTTTATTTTTGCTTTTATTTCCAATATTCTGGGAGGTGGGTCATAGAGGATCCTGCTGTGATTTATGTTGGAGAGTGTGCCCTATCTCTTTACCACTCCTGGACTTCCCAGGTGGCACTAGTGGTAAAGAATGCAGGATGGTGCAAGAGATTGAGACATGAGTTTGATCCCTGGGCTGGGAAGACCCCCTCCCTGGAGTAGGGCATGGGAATCTACTCCAGTATTCTTGCCTGGAGAATTCCACAGACAGAGGAGTCTAGCAGGCTACAGCCCATAGAGTTGCATAGAGTCGTACATGACCGAAGAGACTTAGCACGCCCTACCTCTACCCCATGGGAGCTTGAAATTCTTCTAGAGACTTCAAACACTTCTTAATCATGAAAACTAACCTTCAAAGTTGGTGTTTTGCAAATTACCACTCATTAATGTGTTGGGATTCAGCTTAGTGGGTGGTGCCAACAATTTTGGGAAACATTGAGATAGGCTAGAATAGAAAATAGGAGTGAAAATATGTAACATGTATTGTTTCTTTCTAAAAACATGTCCTCAAACACATACGTATACCGAATTGCAACCTAAAACACAATTTTACTGTGGGCCATGGTCAAAGAGTTTGAGAACCAGTAATTGTTAATTACATAAATAATTAATGTGCCATATGCAACACTTAAAGATTGATGTCGTTATGTACAGAGAAAATCTGGAACATTACTTATAGACAGATTTGAATGTTTGTACTGCATGGGATAGATATATTGGGTCTTTTTACTTTCCTGGCCTCTTGTAAACATTTTATGAGGTCAATTTGGTAATAAAATATTTGAGGTAGGCTACAGTAAGTGTTTAATTGAGGTAGGAAATTATTTGAGAAAATCATGATCCTATTTGAAGCTAATGTAGTTCTGAAGTATTTAGAGGTATGATTCCTAAAGTTGATTCTCTTTAAAAAAAAATGTTTTATTTGTTTGGCTGCACCTGGTCTTAGCTGTGGCAAGCAGGATCTTAGTCGCAGGCATGTGGGATCTTTAGTTGCAGGCATGTGGAATCTAGTTCCTTGACCAGGGGTTGAACCTGGACTCTCCGCGGTGGGAGCTTAGAGTCTTAGCCACTGGACCACCAGGGGAGTCCTCCAAACATAGTTTTTGACACCTTCCTTTTCTACTCTAGAGGCATCAAAGGTCATGGACACGGAAACAGATCTGGTTTTAGTTCTAGTCTTGCTACTGACTGTGATGTTGAATGAATCTCAAAGGGCCTTAATTTTTGTCACCTATGTGAACTTTTGGATTATGTGATATTGAATGTTCTGTCGATAATTAACTCTGAAACTATCAAATAGTTACACAAGTTTCAAAGCAGAGCTAATTTAAATTAAAATACCTGTATGTTCTGTGAAACTGTAGGAGGAACCATTAAACTGAGTATTTCTCAAAATCTAATAAGGATAAAGTGTTTGCAGGACCAGATGGGGTCTGGCGCCCTGGTTCTTTTTATTTTGCCTCTAACTCCCTCATATCTTAATTAACTTTTTGACTATGACCACTTCCCAGGGTGAGGCTGAGATCTACAGAGGCCTTTTTTCGTGTCCTCTCCTTCAGTCCAGGCAGTCCTTTTATGCAAAGTGTGCGCTCGTTTAATATTTGTTGAGGGTGTCCCTGGTGTGTTTGGTACACAGTCGAATTTATGAAATAACGACTTTGAGATGAACAGTCAGTTATGTTTAAGCACTGTCATTTCAGATTTACAGTACTAATCAGCCCCTTCTCAGTGTAGATTTTGCTTCTTCCTGTTAACCTTTTTGTTTTTATTTTAACCCATAATAGAGATGATCTGGAATTCAGTTAATACACATTAGAAGCGCCTTCAGTCACATTGCACATTGGCCACATGAAGATTTAAAAATAGTTTTAAGCAGTCTCACCTTTTTTTAATAGATTCCTGTAGTAGATAGAGCAAGCCTCCTTTATAAAATCACATTTGTAGCCTCATAACATCAGGACTTTCACAAAAACACTAATGGGCTTTCATGACCCTTTAACAGAGTTTATGACTCATCCCTGCTAGAAAGTGAATAGGAGTGATCTCAAAAGGTTGGAATCACTCATGTGTATTGAGCTTTTTTCATTTATCAAAACGATATCATGTTGGTTAGTGCTTGGAGCTTGGTAAGAGTATGGTATTCCGAAAGTAGTTCCTTTTGCCCATGTCCTTTTGATCCCTTGTGGTATGAAGAGTAATTGTCATCTTCTGGTGATACGGACTTCTCCAGTTCATTGAATATACTGTACTTGTTTAATGGAAGCCTCTGCTTCTCTTTCATTAATGGAAGTATTAGCGTGTCATCCAGATAATTGACCACAAAGTACCTTTGGGCTTCAGCATTCCTATCTCTAAAATGAATGAGACCAAATGATTCTAGAATAGTCTCTTGATGCTTTAATTCTGTGACATCTTGTCAGCATATTCTAATATAAGGAACTTTGTTTTACATCAGGCTGCTTTTATTCGTGATGAAATGATGCCAGGAGAGTGGGATGTTTGTGTTACTTCTTATGAGATGGTAATTAAAGAAAAATCTGTATTCAAAAAATTTCACTGGCGATACCTTGTCATTGATGAGGCTCACAGAATAAAGAATGAAAAATCTAAGGTAAGCTAGTTCTGAATATCTGTATTAAAGTTTCTTTTAACTACCACATCTGTTGGTTTACTTCCCTGTATTCAGAATTTAAAAAGTGATAGATTGTGATTTTATTCAAAGAATGTAAATGAAAATCAGTTTTAAAAATGATTTTGGAGTTTAAATGATTGAATAAAAGATAAATGAAAACTGAACCCAATTTTTAAATGTAAAGAAAATTCATTTACTATACCTGTTGCAGTCTAAATAACTCTGTTATGCTACAGTGTTTTAATATTTTTGCAATATTGGTGTACAAATGTCATTTGCTTTGGTTTATTTTTTATTGAGGAGCTATCTTATACGTATTCATATGGATTAGGAAAAAAACTCATTTTCTAGAATTACCTGACTTGTGTGAATTAGAGTGTGGTGTTAACATTGAAAAATAGCAATATTTCTTGCCATTCCACTCCAGCAACAGTAGAAAAAGCATCAGTTATGATGATGATCCGCTCTTTGAGTCATTGGTCTGCTTTGGGAGAACCAGAGACAGAACTGAAGCAAAATCACCAGGTGGTGCTTTTGTAGTTAATACTCGATAAGAGGATACATATTAGATAATAATTGTTAATTTAAGAGCAATATAAAATGAGCCTTTTTATTGATAAGATTACCGTGATTTCTACTTTTTGTGCTTTAATTTTTGTGGTTTTATATTTAGAAAGTTAGCATAAGATATTCGGGGAAGACGGGCTCAAGTGTGGTGCTTAAAAATTGTGACCAGGCCAAGTCAGAAGTTGGTGAGGTGTGGTGGATGAACATGATTGGCATGGAGAAGATGATTCTATGCTGTAAAGTGACCAGCCTGGATTCCATAGAGTTCTGACTATTTCTGTGGACCGAAAATAGAAGGAAATAAATTTTTTAAGTGGGGGAAGGGTCTCAGATGTGACTGTGATCTGCATTCTTGTAAGTGTAGAAATGCCTATAATATTTTGTTCAGCTGTGCTTCACTGTGGCAATGTCACCTGAACTAGGATTAATAGTTATTTCAACTTTTATTCAAAAAATGTTTTGGGTTGGATGAAGAACTGAATGTTGAACATTCTGATAAATAAAACAATATTAACATTACTTATTTTTCTAGCTCTCAGAGATTGTTCGTGACTTCAAGTCAACTAACCGCTTGCTCCTGACTGGAACACCTTTGCAGAATAACCTGCATGAACTCTGGGCACTACTCAACTTTTTATTGCCTGATGTCTTTAATTCTGCAGAAGTAAGTTTAAGTCGTGCGTTTGAAGTATAATTTTCTTATGTTCACAGACATCTGTTTTCAAAACACAAAATGTATGCCTGTGTGCTAAGTCGCTTCAGTTGTGTCTGACTCTTTGTGACCTTGTGGACTGTAGCCCACCAGGCTCCTCGGTACATGGGATTCTGTAGGCAAGAATACTGGAGTGGGTTGCCATAGATGGAAATTGGTAGTTCTTTTTCATTTGTGATTCTTTGTGGTTTAGCTCTTGAATAGAAATTTTTTCAAATGGGGATATTTAGAGAAATAAGTTTCTTTGCTTTGAGATTATCCTATTAAAGTTTGCCTGTATCACATTGCCACCACAACTTACGACACGAGGTAGGCTGAGTTCAGAATAGTGCTTTCTACATTTTCTTTTAACTAAATTGGAAGGGCTTTCTGCATACTAGTTTAGCAAGTAGAGTCATTGAAATAATCTTGAATTATTGCAGGTATTAACATTTGGTGAATACTAAAGAGCTTATAATATGTGATTTGAAAAGCAACATATTTTATAAATGTATGATTTATACTGTTTTTATCATTGGCACAAGGTTATGCTACTGCAACAAACAGAATTGAATGATTTAAGGACGTTGGAGCTTGATTTTCCTCATTACTGATATTAATTGATAATAAAAAGTATCAAGTTTAGCTACCTATTTACATAACTTACCTTGCTTTTGTTCATTTTTATTGTTTGATTAACATTTTCATTAGCATGTCTTCCATTTTATATTCTTATTCCTACTCCTCTTAACTGGTTATAATTCTGCTGTGGTATGCTGCTGCTGCTACTGCTAAGTCGCTTCAGTCGTGTCCGACTCTGTGCGACCCCATAGACGGCAGCCCACCAGGCTCCCCCGTCCCTGGGATTCTCCAGGCAAGAACACTGGAGTGGGTTGCCATGTCCTCCAATGCATGAAAGTGGAAAGTGAAACTGAAGTCGCTCAGTCGTGTCTGACTCCTAGCGACCCCATGGACTGCAGCCCACCAGGCTTCTCCATCCATGAGATTTTCCAGGCAAGAGTACTAGAGTGGCCTGCCATTGCCTTCTCCGCTATGGTATGGGGAAGCCTAATAAAAGCCTTTTAAAGAAAAACTGCTGGTAGAGTACCTGTATAATGGTGTTCAAATTTTGCTAACTGCTCCAGCATTTATTTTCAGAAGTAAATAATATTGGCCATAACAGTTAATGTATTTTTGACAGTGCTTTTAAAATGAATTATTGCTATATGAGTTGTGTAAGAATTTATATAATGTTACATTTATTAAAAAAAAAAAACTACACACTTACTGCAGAATTTTCACCCCTCCACAGGACTTTGATTCTTGGTTTGACACTAAAAATTGTCTTGGTGATCAAAAACTTGTGGAAAGACTTCACGCAGTAAGTAATAGCAGACAGGAATTAAATAATGTAACCATATATGTAACCGAGCTGGAAAACAGACTGAATCTGTTGGAACCTGTGGATGTGCCTCTGAGCTCAGTCTCAGTGTTTTTCTCTTTCAACCTTTCTGACTGCCTCTTTGGGAGGCACGCTCCCACGATACGCTCAACCTCTCTGTGGAACAGCTCTTTTGCTTTGGCCCTGTTCCATGGACAATGTGGTCCTCTCCCATAGAGGCTGTTCACTTTCCCCTACCCCATGGATCCCATGAATGAGATCGCATTCATTGAACACCAGTTTTCCCTTCTTTGGTAACAGCTTCTTGTATCCTTCTTTCACTCATGTTACTCCTTTTGTACTTGTCCTGTTATCTCACAAAGACATCCAGTGCCTGGACCCCTGTTTTACCCCCATCCATCAGCCCATTTCTATTGTTAAATTTTCTGTATTCAGCAAGGAGCAGGTTCTCTATCACATGAACCACTTTTTTGGGGGCCAATATCTCAAACTCCCTTGCTCTCTTGATCTGCCATTTCTGCCCTAAAAGCCCTAAATAAATTATGTAACTGTGTCTCTGTCCTCTGGGTTTGAATTCAGCTTCTACCACTTACTAGCAGAGTGACCTGCTCTGTACTGGGACTGCTCAATACTGACTGATAAAGAAGATGACACCCACTGTACAGGTTGGAACCACTACATTTTCATGTTTGCTGACATGGTTTGATTTCCTTTAATACCTTCCCCTTAATACCTTCCCCTTCTGGGATTTGATGATGTTGGTGATCCTTCTTCATAGCCTTCTTCAGCATTCTCTCTCACTTCCTGTAAGAGCTATTTCAGACTTTCCCCAGTCTCCCCGAGACCTCTAACGCATGTGTTCCCTGTCCTTTCTCAGCAAGTAACGTCATTCCTTTCTCAAAGAGGAAATAAAAGTCATTAGGCAGGAACTCCTTGAAGGATATCCATCTTCCAAGAATATCTGCATCTGTATTACCTTCTGTTTGAGTGGAAGAGGTTTTCTTTCTCTTGTTGGTGGTTGTTCAGTCACTAAGTCATGTCTGACTCTTTACAACCCCATGGACTGCTGCATGCCAGACTCCTCTGTCCTCCACCATCTCCCAGAATTCGCTCAAATTCATGGGCAGTGGCTAAATCTTCCAACATGAACCCTGGATCTCATCTTTTCCTGTTTCCTTAAGGACTTTTCTCCTTAATTTTTCCTTTTTATTGGCTGAATTTTCTACCTCTCTCTGATGTTGGCTCTTCTCTCTCAACATGTAAACATGCTCAAGTATCTCCCTCATTAAATCCTAACCCACACTTAGACTCTCCTCCCTATATCCACAGAACAGTACTCCCTCAACACTCTGTCCCTCTCAATCTGTGATTCTGGTTTCTTCCCTTGATGGCTAAGCTATTTGAAAGTTTAGTTTCTCCTCCCTTCATCCACCACCAAATCGTCTATTCACTCTTCTTTTTTATTGGCCGTGATGCCTGTGGCATGTGGGAATCTTAGTTCCCCGACTGACCAGGCATCGAAACTGCGCCCCCTGAATTGGAAGTATGGAGTCTTAACCACTGGACTATCAGGGAAGTCAGTATTCACTCTTTTTAAAAATGTACAACTATAATTTTAATTGACTCAGTGGAGTTTTGTGAGAGGGTATAGATGTGTTTTGCTTTTTTTTTTGTCTGCTGTTTTTAATGAGAGTCTCAGTCTTTGTTTATAAATTAAAAAAAAAAAACATGTATTGCTCACCTCTCCTTATCTCCCCCTTCCCCAGAAAAATGTAAACTTAATGTGGCAGGGATCCTGTCTGTTTTCCACCACATTGTGCCCCGTGTGCCTGGTCCAGAGTAACTGCTCATTAAATTTATTTATTGACTGGAAGCCCCACCAGTCATCATGTGTTATGCAAATATTTATTTAGAGTTAAACAGAACAAGTCAGAAACCAGTGACCTTATGTAATAGGGAACTTATTGTAAGAATGCAGAGGCGTAGAAGACAAATCTTCGAAGAATCCTGTCATACAAGTTGCAGTACAGCTGGGCCTCTCATAGCAGGAACTTGGTCAGCTCTGAGGAATGGCTACTCTGTCTCTGATGGGTCCTATTCATTTCTGAATCCACTGACCATTAAATACAACTGAAACGTAGCCTCACAAGTATTTGTGATTTTTCGTTATACCATTTGGTCAGTGCCCTGACTTCCCTGTAATACTTCATACCTCTCCCCATGCCTGTTTGAAGTGCTTTCGTGCTTAGTGTCTGGGGATGGGATACCTTTTATCTTATCTCTTTGGCTGTTCTTTTCTGTCCCCATCATGGGCTTTTCTTTCTTTGTCTCTGAAAGTTTAGTGTTGCAAGGCTTTGTCTTTGATTTCCTTTTTCATATGTGCTCTCCCTGGAGGATTACTCCCACAGTTTCAGCTATACCTCTATACTTACAACTCCCAAATTTCTTTCTCCTTATTTCTCTCCTAAGCTCAAGACTTACAAATCCCACTGCCATCTGCGTGTTCTGCCTGAATGTCTCAGAGACAGTTTAAACTCTTAAAAATGCAACTTAGACAAATTTAAGAGGCCCAAACAGGAAACCAAAAGTCTTCTTTTACACTTCCCTTTTCCTTACCTCCCATGGATCTCTAGTAATAATAGCTACAGTTTACTGATGTCTATCGTGGTTAAACTCTACTTAAGTACTACCACAGATTGTCACAGCAGTCTTGGAAATAGGTATCTTTATCCCCATTTAAAATGCTTAGCATAGATATATACCATAAATCTATATGTTTTGGATGAATGAATGAGGAAACAGGCTTGGAAAAGTTAAAGAACTTGCCCAGTTTACAACCACTAATCAGGGACTGAGCTAAATGTAAATCAGCCTGATGTGGGTTTGATTACTGTTTCTACCATTTACTAGCAGAGTGAATTTGGTGATGTTACTAAAATTGAAATATCTTTCCCTCAAAGACTTATTGTAAGGATTTAATACTCTAGATTCTAAAGTTCATGGTACATTGTCTGGCACATTCAGGTGCCCCAGAGATGTTTTTTTTCCTTGTAATAGAATCTGCCTTGCAGGTATACACGGATAATTTCATGTTTTTTCTCTTTTTGTTCTGATCTTCTTTTTCACTGAACCATTTTCTTCTCATTCATATATTTAAAGCCATTTTTAAATGGCTTGAATTTTTATTTCATTTTTAGAGACACTCTGATTCATACTCTGATCTCAGATTTCCTCTCAGGTTTACAAATACTATATGACAGCAGATTATTTTAAAAAGATTTTTTTGGTACTCTTTCAATAGTCAGTAATCTTGTTGTCTTAATTTTTATTGTCTTTTGTGCTATCAAATCATGGATGTCTAATTTAGGCCCCTTATTCTGATTTGCTAATGGGCCGTTACTTGGTTCTTTTTACCAAGAAAATTAGCAACTGGTGTTGGTAGTGTTTTTCAGATTATACAGTGGGAAGTAAATTTCACTTTAGAGTGTTGTCAATGAAATAAATGGTTTATAATATTGAATGTTTTATAAACATTTATAAAAACTCACTTTTTAGGTTTTAAAACCATTTTTGTTACGTCGAATAAAAACTGATGTGGAGAAGAGTCTGCCTCCTAAAAAGGAAATCAAGATTTACTTGGGACTGAGTAAAATGCAGCGAGAATGGTGAGTTATTTTATTTCTGCTAGAATTTATGTATAAAGATTTATTGGAGGGAGGTGGGGGGGGGATCGGGATGGGGAACACATGTAAATCCATGGCTGATTCATGTCAATGTATGGCAAAAACCACTAGAATACTGTAAAGTAATTAGCCTCCAGCTAATAAAAATAAATGAAAAAAAAAGAGCAGGGGACTGGAAAAAAAATAAAAAAAATAAAAATAGTAATAAAGGTAAAAAAAATAGCTTTGTAGTGTTTCAGTTGTCACTTTAGTTCAGAAAGTACATTTTAGGTTTAAGTGCCAAGTTAAATAGTTCAAATATTTTAATATAAAATTGATGAGTGTTTTATTTAACCTTCAGGAAAGAGTATATGGGGAGTCTGTAGACCTGTGTTTGAGTCCATGCTTTGCCTCTTAATGGCTTGTTTAGCTTGGACAAATTATGTAACCTCAATTTCCCTTCTGTAAAATGGTGATAATAATACTTTACTTATAAGAATGATGTCAGAGTTAAAGGGGATAATGTCACTGGCACATTTGTTAGTTATTCTTGCTTTTTCCATTAATGAAAATAGTAATAACCATAATAATGAGTGAAAATATCAATGATTGTAGATATTATAAAAACAGAAGCTGTATTGTTTTGAGAAATACAAGCAGAGCAGGAAATTTGACAAGAGGAGTCACACAGAATCATAAATTTGATATAAAATGAACATGTTAATGTAATAATGCTAGTAAGAGAAGCAAAGTGTTGCTTATATAAATAAAATTAGATAACTTATACTATATAGACACTTCTCTATTATTGAAGCCAGTATAGGGTAGTGGTAAAGAGCATATTTCTCTAGACTCAGAAGTAAGATCAAGCCCTTGCTTTGTCCCTTTCTGTGGCTCTGAGTAAATTGTTTCACTTCTTTTAGCTACCTGAATTTCCATCAGTAAAGCGGAGTACATATCTCAGAGTTCTGAAGATTTAACAAGATGATTCATATGCCTGGCATTTGCACTCAGTACAAGTTGGCTATTGTTAGAATTAAATATTACTACTCCCCAGGTGGATACATAGATCTGTTTTTTTTCCTGGGTGAAGGTCTGGAAAAGACAATAAAATGTTTATAGGGTCAGAAAAAAATGACCTGTGAAGACAGGTATAAGAAATTGCAACTGTTTTTAGCTGAAACAAGTAAAAGCTGGATGCCAACTTTGAGCAAATATTGTAGTTATTAAATAATTATCGTATGTAGTTGTCTGAATTGTTATCATCTGATGGCGAATTTTAGCAATGGATAAAGCAGGAGGAAATCGGTTTATAGGCAGCATACAAGTTAAAATACTCAAATCCTCGCTAATTTTTTGATTTTGCTTATCAGATTTAGTCTCCAATCAGATCTTTTTGTTTTTCTTTAAATAGGAATCTAAGCAGATTATCAAAAGGGCATTTTTTTCCAAAGGGACATTTCTTGATGTGAAGCCTGTATAATAGTTGATGATTAATTATAGTTTAAATTTTTAGGTATACAAAAATCTTGATGAAAGATATTGATGTTTTAAACTCTGCTGGCAAAATGGACAAGATGCGACTCTTAAACATTCTAATGCAGCTTCGAAAGTGTTGTAATCATCCTTACCTGTTTGATGGTGCTGAACCTGGTCCCCCCTACACCACTGATGAGCACATTGTTACCAACAGTGGTAAAATGGTAGTCCTTGATAAACTATTGGCCAAACTCAAAGAACAGGGTAAGTTACAAATCTTCAAATTAATGTGAAATAACTTAATATTGTATATGAATAACATTTTGCTTAGTCATTCATCATTCATTCATTCACTTATGCAGCACACATTGTTGAGTACTTACTCTTTGGTTAGGAATTGTCCTGTGGGCTGTGTATGTTGTTGTTTAGTTAATAAGTTGTGACTGACTCTTTTGTGCCCTTGTAGACTGTAGCCCAGAGAAGGCAATGGCACCCCACTCCAGTACTCTTGCCTGGAAAATCCCATGGACAGAGAAGCCTGGTAGGCTGCAGTCCATGAGGTCGCTAAGAGTCGGACACGACTGAGTGACTTCACTTTCACTTTTCACTTTCATGCGCTGGAGAAGGAAATGGCAACCTACTCCAGTGTTCTTGCCTGGAGAATCCCAGGGACAGGGGAGCCTGGTGGGCTGCCGTCTATGAGGTCGCACAGAGTCGGACACGACTGAAGTGACTTAGCAGCAGCAGCAGCAGACTGTAGCCCATCAGGCTTCTCTGTCCATGGGATTTCCCAGGCAGGGAGACTGGAATGGGTTGCCATTTCCTTCTCCAGGGGATCTTCCCAGCCCAGGGATAGAACCCGTGTTTCCTGCGGCTCCTGCATTGGCAAGTGAATTCTTTACCACTGTGCCACCTGGGAAGCCCCTATGGGCTGGGTATACAGAGACGCATAAGACAACAGTCCTCGCCTTGTAGATGCTCTCAGTGCAGTGAGGAGGCATAATTGCAAATCATTGTGATAAGTGCTGTGATATGCTGAGATATTAGGAGTTGAGGGAGTCTTCATGAAGATGACATTTGGGGTGAGCACTGCAGACTGTGTAGGAGTAAACAGTGGAAAAAAGGAAGGCAAGGGTTTTCCATCTCTGCAATGAAGCAGAGGTGTGAAAGAAGGGAATGTGGAGCTTATGGTATTTGGGTAGAGTGGCAGTGGATGAGTCCAGGAAGATGAATTGGGGCTATTACAAAAGGCCATTTAAACTATGCTTTATGGGTTTTGGGCTATTTTGAAGGGGGTATGGGTGATTGCAGAAGATTTGGCTGTGGAGAATGACACATTCAGATTTGTATGTTAGGAAGAGAAGCTTGGAAGCAATGTGAGGGTGTATCTCCTGAGCCTGAGAGACTAGAAACATCCTCAGGACAAAGTAAAGGCAGACTTTAAATCATCTCAATGTGTGTGGGGGATTTTGAAGACCTTAAAAATGTTTAACTCAACAAATACTTCTGTATAGTATCTGTTGAAAAGATGTGTGTAGGGGGCTTAGTATTCGTTAGTGGTATGAGTGTTCACATGCTATATATTTATATTGCATATGATGTTTGCTTTTATTTTTGTAACTTTCAAGTTAGTTTTACACAAGTTGAATAACTTGCCTTTTTTTGGTGAAATGTTTTAGGTTCAAGGGTTCTCATATTTAGCCAGATGACACGCTTGCTGGACATTTTGGAGGATTATTGTATGTGGCGTGGTTACGAGTATTGTCGACTGGATGGACAAACCCCACATGAAGAAAGAGAGGTGAGGAAGAGAAAATAAAACAAGACTTGAAAAATCAGAGTTCAGTTACACCATGCTTTTCATCATTAGGTAGTTTTGAATTTTGGCCTTTTCTTTAGCTAGGTGCATTGAATTGCTCACTACCATCTCTTGCTCCTTGAGATCTTCAGCTGGACTTTCATTACACTGGCTCTTTACAAATCATTCTTTTCCAAGGTTTTCAGAGACATCCTCGCTTATCAAATGGACACTGCACCATCACATCCTTACCTTCTCTAACCACTGCTATCCCAGGCCTTTTGACTGCTGTTTCTCAGCTCCCTCTTTGACCTTTGATTCTATGTCATTTTCTTTTCCTGATTTGCCTCCTACATTAGACCCTCGCCATTCATGGAGTTGAACAGTTGAGATTTTTGCAGTTTATGAGCAACTGTAAAGACTCATGAGACAATAATTTGTAAAGGAAATGATCTCAATAGACATTTTGTAAAACTGAATTTGGACGACATAGGTACAGGTGCTTATCATTCAGTTGGATCTTGGAAGACTAAAAGGTTGGTGTGCAGGAATGAGTCACTTAGCTAATGAGGAAGCCTGTCTAGCACCCAGGTATCTTTTAACTTGGAAATTCTTAAAGATTTTAAGATTATTTCTCATGAATATCAGGGGTCTAATGTATAGAAAACCCTTTAAAGCACTTTTTCCGAGGGAGGGCTTTGCTAATTTATCTTCTCTTTTCTATAACCCTTCAGGGCTCTGTCTTTGGCCTCTGTTTTAAGTCTATACTCATGCTGTGGGCAGAGACCGTGATTTCATGGTATAGTGGAAAATGCATTGAACTTGGTTTCCGAAGACTTGAATTTAACATCAACTCCACCATTATGTGTGCAAGCTATTTAATCCTCTGAGCCTCAGTATCTTTTAACTGTATATTATAAGGGTACTGTTAATGCCTAGGCTTTTGTTTTCCTGACAGTGTTGTGAGGATCACTGGATAGAATAGGTATGAACATAGTTTTTTTACTGTGCAGTGCAGTATAGATCACAGGTCACGAAAGTGCACACAGGCCTTTTCACTTCTCAGCTCTTGGACCCCTTCTCAGGCCACCGAGACTCTCAACCTGTGTCCTTGTCCTTCCGTAGCTGCAGTGGGCACTCTGTCCCTCGTGTGCCTCCTATAGCAGAAGCACAGGCCCTTTTCACATTAAGAGTTTCCCTGCTACCCACTATGGGGAAACAGTTGTGGTAATATTTATAAATAAGGATGTTTCAAAGCTTACACTGTTCCTGCTCTATAGTCTGACTCTCTCGGAAATGGTAACTCAAAACTTTATTGGGCTTTTGCTGATTTGTTCCTGAGAATGGATTTCTGCCAATCCACATGAAGCATAGGCCATATAATAACCATTCAAGATGGCCCTTCTTCCTGGAATGAAGATGATATTAAAGCAGAAGAGTAGGTGCTTTCTGAACTCAAATAGCCAATTTGCATTTCTGACTAATCTCTCTGCTCATGAATAATATGGACTTTACCTAATTATGCCCCAGTTATCTGGTCTCTTAAAATGCTAAATAATGTCCTCCCTTCAGAGAGTTGGAATCACATGTTTTGACTTTAGATGCAGCACAGTGAGAGCTGTTCATTTTGTTTTGGAAACATCCTGCCTCCCCATTATGTCATCATTCAGATAAGCATTTCATCTATCTTCCCAATAAGAAGTGGAAATCTACCTTGGATTCCTTATTCAAATTGTTCACGAGCTGTTCATAAGCAGTTTTTTCTCAATAGCACTCAGATATGCCATAGCTATAGCTAAATTCAGCTAGCTTCTGTAACCTTGACTTACCTTAACTTTAACCTCACTTTTATAGGGAAAGGAGCTAACATTTGTCAAGCAACAGCTATAAGCTAGGCAACTTTATAGTTCCAGTTGAATTCTCCTAGCAGCCCAGTGAAGTATTGGCATAATTTGCTCCACTTGAAACTGTGTCTCAGAGAGGTTAAATGCTTGCTGAGAACCACATGTGTAATAAATGGTAGAGTTATGACTCACGCCCAGGTTTTTGCTATTTCCTCTACACCAAATTGCCTCTCACTACACCATGCTGCTTTCTGTACTGCCCCTCTACATGCTGTATGGACTGCAGCAGAGTCGCCTTCTCTGCCTGCAGCTTTTGACCATGCCATTCCATTCCTTAAAAATAGAACTTCCTGTATTTCATGATTATAAAAGTGATATATGATTGCCAAGGAAATTTGGAAAATAAAAGTATTTCTGGCTGATCTTTCTATGCATATATAATATATAAGTAATTAATATTATACTGTATATGCTACATATGAAGTTCAGTATCCTGATACATTTTACTCAACATTATGTTGTACTTCCCCATATTAGTAACAAAAAAATCACCGTAAAAATAATTTCAGTGTACTATTTCATCCTATGGACATACAATAAATAATTTATCCCCCTGTTGTTGATCATTTAGGTTGTTTCCAATTTTCACTATTATAAAGAATGCTTAAGTAAAAGTCCTTCTACATAAATCTTTGTGCCCATCTCTGATTATTTCCTTAGGATAAATTCCTAGAAGTGGAATTACTGGGTCAAAGGGTATGAACACATTTAAGACTCTTGATGTATGTTGCCAAATTGCTTTCCAGAAAGGTTGTACCAATTTACACTCCCAGCAGCAATGTATGAGAGTGCCCGTCTCATCGCCCCCTCGTCAACATTGAGTATTACCATTCTTTTAATCTTCAAAAAATGGTATTATGTTTTTTTATTTGCATTTACTTGATGACTAGTGGGACTGGACATTATTCTTGTGTTTATTAGCCATTTGTATTTGTTCTTCTGTGTACTGTCTGTTCTTTTTTTCCCCTCATTTTTCTATTGGGGTCTTAGTGTTTTTTTTCTAATTAATTGAGATCTTTATATAGTAAGGATATTAATGTCCTATTAATTTTTAAGACTCTTTACTAAATATCCGTGGATTACCTTCCTGATTTTCCTCATTACTTCCCTGTTCGCTCCTTTTCACCATATGGTAGTAAATCTACCTACCTCCCCTTTATCTGTTGCTCTCATTCCCATTTCTCAACTTTTTTTTTCTCTCTTGGTTGATCTTCTAAACTATATCTTCTCTGTTAATCCTTCATAAATTAATGGGAATGAAGTTGAGATATCTGACATTTTGCCCCCTAAATTTCAGCTCTCACTCAATTAAAACATTTTCACTATTTTTGTTTTAAAATAATTTATCACTTGCTTGGTTAAATTTGTCTTTGTGATTGTTGTTTGTCTTTACTGGTGTAAGTGTCTAAAGATTAGTTACGTTATTTAATATACTTTTTACTGTATACACAGTGCAGTTTATAGATAGATGCTTAAATATTTTTGAAGGTGGAAGAATATTATAAAGTGGGGGTTTGAGCATGCATGTTAAAATGTTTATTTATTTCTTAAGAACTCTGATAATATAATTTTATTTTTCTCTCTTTTCCTTCCATCTCCTATCAATTAAAAAAAAGGAAGCAATAGAGGCCTTTAATATTCCTAATAGTAGCAAATTCATCTTCATGCTGAGTACCAGGGCTGGAGGTCTCGGAATTAACTTGGCAAGTGCTGATGTGGTTATACTGTATGACTCAGACTGGAATCCCCAGGTGGATCTGCAAGCTATGGTTAGTTATCTTTAATGATATCAGAAATTTATCTTTGTTGAGAAAACTATTGCTATTTATAAAGCATGAAAGTAATTTATGATGAAAGGGTAACAGCAGTCTTTGGGAAGTTTGGTAGATGTTAAAATAGATTTTTTTGGAAAACAAAGTTGCTATGCCAATTGCAAAAACAAATGAAATGAAAACAGATAGATGCCAAATCTAACTGTAGCATTTCTGTGTTGATTTTGGCTTTTATCATGAAACACAAATGTAATTTTTCCCCATTCCTAAATATTGAAGAAGATACATTCATGTTTGAATGATAAGGGATTAAAAATTAGTCTCTAAGTATTATTCTGCTCAACAACTAAATATGTTACAATCCTTAGCACTAAAATTGGGAGAGGTAGGATTTTAACTTCTGTAATAAAACAACTGGGGCAAGAAGGTGAAAATGTAACAAAGGAATATATTCCAGGAAAACATTTGCTACCTAGAGACACTATCAGAAACTACTCCACCCTAAAAAATTCAAGGAGCTTTTCTTACTTTTAATCATGGTATCATTTATTGAACTAAGGCTACAAATTCAGTCACTGTGACTCAAATTTTAAGGTGAATATAATTTCAGAAGTAAAAAGATACAAAATAGCTATGCATTCAAAATCCCCAGAATTTTTGGGACAATTGACTGTCTTTGGAAACAAAATCATATGCCAATGAGGCAGAGCTTAGAGGTCCTCCCTTTTCTTTTGTAATAGAGAATTGAAAATATTTACATTAGGACATTTTAAAATCCATATGCTTTGGCATGCTGCTGCTGGTGCTGTCACTTCAGTTGGACTCTGACTCTGCGACCCTGGACTGTAGCCCACCAGGCTCCTCTGTCCATGGGATTCTCCAGGCAAGAATACTGGAGTGGGTTGTTATGCCCTCCTCCAGGGGATCTTCCCAACCTAAGGATCTAACCTGCGTCTCATGTCTACTGCATTGGCAGGCAGGTTCTTTACCAGTAGCACCAATTATTACTACTTTAACATGTTGATCTGACTCTGTAGGAGTAAGTCCCGGTAAGTTAGTGTTAGTGAACGGGAAAGTCTGTTGATAACGCTTCATTTCCTTAAAAGTGTTAGAGTATAGCTGATCTTTCACAATTTACTGATTTGAGTTTGAAATGTAAATGTGTGTAGGGGTGTTGCATTCTCTTTCAGCGAGCTGTGTTGAAACTTACTGGTGCTGGTGTTTTTATATTTAGTACAGGGCTGTTTGAAACTTGTTTCTTTGCTTTTTTTTTTTGCTCAGCTACCCCTCTTCCTTCACATATTTGCTGAGAGCTTCTGGGGTTTTTAAAAATACTCCCCCTAGCTGTTTATCTGTTATCAGAACTTGCCACCTGTCACCTTTACCAACTGTAAACCACAGGACTAAATTCTAGACCATACAGTAAGGGTATTAATCTCCCATTAATGTTTATGACCCTTTACTGCCGATCGCTGAATTGCCTCAGTAAGCAGAAAGAACTGCTTGCTGATGAGAGAAAGCTGACTTTTGCCACCATAGCAACCCTTGTTAACTACTTTGCCCCTCACTTAAAAAACTCCTCGCTAGGGTGGAAAATGTTTTTATTTAATGGCTTAAAGTTACTCAGTAACCCAGTCCAGAAGCTTTCAGCTCTTTTTTCAGCTCTTTTTAGACCTTATCTTCAAGGGCTTTTGTCTTTTGTTCTTCTGGAAATTTCCATTAATGATACAGCAGAATATTTGTGGATTTCTTTGTTCCTAGGGTTCTCTAGATAGTCTTAACATTCATTATCCTTCTTTCAAAAGTGGCCAGTCTAAAGAGATCAGGAACTAATTTTATTTTCAGAATTTTATAGCGTAAGCTAGCTATACCATACGTTTTATCCAGAATACCCAGTGTCTTATATTAGGATTTTTTTTTTACTAGGATCGTGCACATCGTATTGGTCAGAAGAAGCCAGTACGTGTGTTTCGTCTCATCACCGACAACACTGTTGAAGAAAGGATTGTTGAAAGAGCTGAGATAAAACTGAGACTGGATTCAATTGTCATACAACAAGGTATTTATATGTGTAAACTTACTTAGATATTTCTTTGGGAAAACACATGCAGTTTTCTTCAAAGGAGATTACTTTTAATGATAGTTGACCAAAATCTGCAATCTTAGAGAAGAAAGTCAAATTAAAAAAAATCCCCATTTTGAAACCTTGTGTTCAGTATATGGGGTAGGTAGTTGAACCTCTCTAGCTTATAGTTGAATGCCAATGGCATGTCTTTTGAAGTACTTGATATTATGTAGCAGATAAAAGTTTGGCTTAAAAATTTTAAATTATGTATTAGAGGGTGTCTTTTCATACAGAGAAATTTGATCTGAGAATTGAAGCTTGAATATGAAAAAATGTTTTTGTTCTGTGTTTTAAGTGAATTTTATAGAAGGAAATTCATATTGAAATGGAAGGTATGGTAGAAGAAAAACTTGCGGGGTTATTCATTTAAAAAACTACTTCAAAGTTCACTAGTTTTCTGCTGTAAAGCTTTACTTATGGTTAAATGTGTGCTTAGTCACTCAGTCGTGTCCGACTCTTGTGACCCCATAGACTGTAGCCTGCCGGGCTCCTCTGTCCTTGGGATTCTCCAGGCAAGAATACTGGAGTGGATTGCTATTTCCTTCTCCAGGGTATCTTCCAGACACAGGAATTGAACCCAGGTCTCCTGCATTGTAGGCAGACTCATGGTTAAATGTAGTAGTGTCTGATTAGAACTATTATGCTATGCTTTCTCTGAAATATCATTGAATATATACAATTTTTATTTTTATTATTAGGAAGACTCATTGACCAACAGTCTAACAAGATGGCAAAAGAGGAAATGTTGCAAATGATACGTCATGGAGCCACCCATGTTTTTGCTTCTAAAGAAAGTGAGCTGACAGATGAAGACATTACAACTCTTCTAGAAAGAGGGGAAAAGAAGGTAGGTTAAAATGGCTTTTTGTTTTCCAGATCGATTGCTTTAAATCGACATACTTCAGCATAATTATTGTATTGTTGCAAATGCATGTTTCAAATGCATGTTCTCTGTAAGAATTTGTAGATTTATATCTAGGGATAACTTAGTATTTTTTATTTTTTTAGTTTAATTTTTGGTGAGAAAGACTAAGAGCCAGAGTTTAAAATCAAGTGACGTTATACCTCATACTTATAATATTGGTATTTACTGTACTTAAGAGCCAAGTAAATTTTTTGTTTAATCACTTCTATCAGGACTGCATTTTACGACCTTTCTTTTTGCATGGGATTAGAAATTATCTTGAAGAAGGAAATGGCAACCCACTCCGGTATTCTTGCCTAGAGAATTCCGTGGACAGAGAAGTCTGGTGAGCTGCTGTCCATAGGGTTGCACATAGTCGGACACGACTGAAACAGTCCACCAGGCTCCTCTGTCCATGGAATTCTCTAGGCAAGAATACTGGAGTGGGTCGCCATGTCCTTCTCCATTCTGTCTCTGACTTATTTCATTTAGCATAATAGCCTCAAGGTCCATCCATCCTGTCTCAAATGGCAGGATTTCCTTCTCTTTAACAGCTGAATAATATTCCATTGTATTCATATACACCACATTTTCTTTATCTATTCATCCATCGATGGACATTTAGGTTGTATTCCTGTCTTGGCCATTGTAAATAGTGCTGCAACAAACATGGGGGTAAAGGTATCTTTTCGAATTAATGAGTTCATTTCCTTCAAATAAATACCCTGAAGTTTAGAATTGCTGGATCATATGGTAGCTCTATTTTTAATTTTTAGAGCAAACTTCATACTGTTTACCATGGTGGCTGTACTAGTAGCAGTAGTGCACAAGGGTTCCTCTTTTTCCACATCCTCACCAGCACTTGCTATTTCTTGTCTTTTTGATAATAGCTATTCTAGCAGGTGTGAGATGCTATCTCCTTGTGGCTTTGACTTGCATTTCCCTGGCAATTATTGATATTGAGCACCTTTTCAGGTATCTGAGGTTATATGTTGGATTTTGAGCAATCTTGTATTACTATGTTTCATATTAGTGTGCAGATGTGTTGTTTAGTCCAAGTTTGCCTTTGTTTTAGCATTACCATGTGTCCCATTAAAATTATGCAGCAGAAATTATAATAGGGCTATATTTTCAATGATGAAAGATTTTAGAGAAAGCCTTAGTGAGAGCACTTAAGAAGAACCATTGAAATATTTAAAATACTTGGGGTAAATTAAATTTATATTCAAGTTTGATGTTAGCATTGCACTATTACCTTGTAAATGAACAGATTTTATATTTCATATCAATAATTGCCTTTAAAAAGACAGAGAATTCACAGATTTTTGTAAGTAGTTCAGTGATAATTTTCTGATTTCAATGCATTCAACTTTAGACTGCAGAGATGAATGAACGCTTGCAGAAAATGGGAGAGTCTTCTCTGAGAAATTTTAGAATGGACATTGAACAAAGTTTGTACAAGTTTGAAGGAGAAGATTATAGAGAAAAACAGAAGGTAACTTTTTACTGTCAACCGTTAGATTCTCAGATTAGCATTTCTTCCCATAACAATTAAATATTTAACAAAACACTGGCATTTACCTGTTACAATACTCTTCTATAGAGTGAAAGTTATGTAGGTCAAAATGATCTTATCCACGGGCTATGTTTAATATAATTTGCTGGTTGTTTATTGTTATTATTATTACCACTATCATCATTATCATTTTTGCTGTTGCTGCTATTACTGTACCACTACTTTGGTTTTTGAGAAGTAGTATAGGATTGTGGTTGAATTCCTGGATTCTGAAGCTGAAATCATAACTCTATTACTAATTAAGTGACTTAAAATTTTTTTTTTAGTTGAAGTATAGTTGATTTACAATGTTGTGTTAGTTTCAGGTATACAGAAAAACAATTCAGTTATATGTGCACCTATTTTTTTTTCAGATTCCTTTCCCTTATAGGTCATTACAAAATATTGAGTATAGTTCCCTGTGCTGTACAGTAGGCCCTTGTTGGTTATCTATTTTATATATAGTAGTGTGTATATGTGAATCCCAAACTCCTGATTTATCCCTCCTCCCCTTTCCCCTTTGGTAACCATAATCAAGTGACTTTAGATAATCAGTGTTTTCACCAATCAAATGGAGGTTGTAGTAATTACATTTTAGAGCGATTAGAACAAAATGTGCAGTATTTAGTATTAATTACATTAGTAATAATATTATTGTTGACATATAGTTGGTTAAATGCTGGAAGGACTTTGTTACAGGTGGTCTCATAAAATAATGCCTTGTAATATACTTCATAGGCCACAAAGTTCCCTTGAAAAAATGGGAATTTTGTTTATTTTCTCTGTTTAAACTGAAATTATGGCTGTAATTCTTAAAACTTTTAATATTAAAATGGCTTTAGACTTTATTGCAAGAAAATAATACAGAGTCCACATGTATCCTTCACTCAGCTTCCCATGTTAACAATTTACCTAATCATATTACAGTGATCAAGTATAGAAAGTTAACCTTTTCCCCCAGTACCCTAGTATCCTTTCCCTGTTCCAGGGTTTACTATCCAGGATCCCACTTTGCAGTTTCTAAAAACAGTTTTATTTTTAAGAGCTGTTTTAGGTTCATAGCAAAAAGGAGTGGAAAATACAAAGAGTTCCCATATTCTATCTGCCCCCCTCCAAGAGCTTCCTACACTCAACCTACACTATCAGCCTCTCATTGAACATCTGTTGAACCTACATTGACATATCATCATGCAAAGGCCATCATTTACATTAGGGTTCACTTTTGGAATTGTACAGTCTATGGATTTGGATAAATTTACAAATGATTGATATCCACCATTATAATATCATCCAGGATGGTTTCATTGCCCTAAAAACCCTCCATGTGCTGCCTAGTAATCCCACCTTCCCCTCAGCTCCTGACAACAATTGATCTTTGTACTATTGCCATAGTTTTGCCCTTTCCAGAATATTATATTGTTGGAATCATACAGTATGTAGCCTTTTCTGCTTGGCTTCTTTCACTTAGTAATATGCATTTAAAGTTCCTTTGTGTCTTTTCATGACTTGATGGCTCATTTCTTTGTAGTGCTAAGATCCATCTCTGATGTACTACAGTTTGTTTATGCATTTATCTACTGAAGGACATCTTGATTGCTTCCAAGTTTTGGTATTATGAATAAAAGCTGCCATAAACATTCATGTGCAGGTTTTTGTGGGGATATAGATTTTCAACTCTTTCGGGTAAATCCCAAGGAGCACAATTGTTGGATTGTATGGTAGTGGTGGTAGTCTAGTTGCTAAGTCAAGTCTGACTCTTGCGACCCCACGGACTGTAGCCCACCAGGCTCCTCTGTCCATGGGATTTCCCAGGCAAGAATACTGGAGTGGGTTGCCATTTCATTTTCCAGGGGATCTTCCCAACCCAGGGATAGAACCCAGGTCTCCTGCACTGCAGGTAGTTTCTTTACCAACTGAGCCACCAGGGAAGCCCCGATTGTATGGTAAGAATATTTAATTTTGTAAGAAACTGACAACCTGTCTTCCAAAATGGTCATACTGTTTACATTCTCATGGGCAGTGAATGGGGCTTCCCAGGTGGCACAGTGGTGAAGAATCTGCCTGCCAGTGCAGGAGATGTGGGTTCGATACCTGAGACTCAACTGAGCAAGCATGCAGTGTAGTAGTATGTCTTTGTTTTAATTTGTATTTCACTGCTGAATGATGTGGAACATATTTTCACTTGCTTATTTGCCATCTCTGTATTTCATTAGGGAGGTGTCTGTTCAGATCTTTTGCCATTTAAAAATCAGATTGGTTATTTTCTTATTATTGAGTTTTTTAAGAGTTCTTTGTATATTTTGGGTAACAGTCTTTTATCAGCTGTCTTTTTTTTTTTAATAAGACAAGATTTATTTCTTCTCAGAGTTTACATGAAACATTTGTTGGTAGTCAGATAGGTCTTTTGCAAACACTTTCTCTCAGTCTGGCTTGTCTTCTCATTGTCTTCACGTTGCATTTCATTGCTGTGTCTCCTTGGTCTCTTCTAATCTGTGATAGTTCTCAGTCTTTCTTTGTTTTTCATGATCTTGACACTTTTGAACAGCATTTTTCTGCTGTCTTGTAGTTTGTCTTTCACTTTGGGTTTTTGTTTTTTTTTCATGATTTGATTGAGATTTTGCATTTTTGGCAAGAATGCCTTGGAAGGGATGTTCTGTCTTTCTCAGTACTTCATACCAGGGAACATGATGTCACTATGTTGTGTTACTGGGGACATTAATCTTAGTCACTTTGTTGAGGTGACGCCTGCTGGATTTTTCTACTGTAGAGTTACCAATTTTCCCTTTGTAATTGATAAATATCTTGGTGGGGGGAGCTACTCCTCAAACTTTTACACACTGATTTTGGCATCTCTTGGTGGAGTTTGCCTACAATGGTTATTGGGGCGTTTACCTAACGGTAATTTTGTATTTCCTTCATTCCATCTATATTTATTAACTGGGATTTTTCTGTAAGGAAAAGCTGTCCCTTCTCCCCATTTATTTATATACTCATTTATTTATATCAGCATGGACTTAAGAATATTTTTTCAGTTATAATACAATTCTGTCATTTTTGTTTTGTTACTCAAATTGTTCTATAAAGCTGTTATATTTTTTAACTGACAGAATGAATTTTTAAAATAAAAAAAGCTTATTCTTGGGTATTGATTTTATTGAAAAATGAGAGGTGAGTCATTTTAATTTGCATTGCAACTAGTGTGGTGATAATGCTTTGTTGCTACCATTATTCCTGGTTAGTTTTTAGTATCTTGACCAAAATCTATCTGGTTATTCCATCTCTAACTTTAATTGAGACCATTTATGGTTTACTCTGATGAGATGGAGGTGATAGCCTGCATGCACAGCATAGAAACTGCCTTCCTAATATGCTTTTTAGATCTCATTATGTGACTTTTTAAAAATTAATTTTGCAGTTATTCCTGTGGGCTTATTGGTTTTAAGAGTGTTTTTTAAAGTAGAAAATATTAAACAGTTAAGAGTCTAACCATCACTGGTGCATCTTTATCTACATTCTTAGGGAAAAATTAGGCTTGATAAAATATTTGTCATTTCTAATATAACAAGTTTTCCTGTGCTTCTAAGCAAATAATGATGTGCAGATAACAAAAAATTTTAATAACAATTATAATGACATACTTTTTTATATGCTTTTATAATTAAATGATTAAATCAGAATTTATCTGAATATTCTGAGTTGAGATTATATTTTATTATGTGTTTCCTTATTTTTTAGATAGGTTCTTAAAATAGGTTCATACTATCCTTTGAAAAGAATTGAAAACTTGCAAGAATGTTGTTCATACATATCATGGAAATTGCACAGTAAGGGAGATTTTCATATAAGATTTGCTGAACTAGTTGCATTAGTTCATAACCATACTTGATGAATTAAGTCACAGTGTCTGACATTGATTCTGAATAAATTGACCTAAATAAGTTTGTATTAATGTACTCTTATCTAAAACTACTTTAGCATATTTGTTCTGTTTTTGAAAGTTCAGGAATTGGCCTTTAATACTTGTTTCAAATTTGAATACCTAGACCTTCACACATGTATAGGTTAAATGGCCAGATACATTACTTTTAGAAAGTCGTTATTATTGATTTATTTTAACCCCAATTGAGACAAATAAAATATTGGTTATTGAAAAATGTCTTTTCCATTACTGTCATCTCACATTAGCCCATCTGAGGGGAAAAACAAAACAACTCATTTCACTGTTGTGAGTATTTCTCATTTTACATAAACTCACATTATACTATCCGTCTGTTATGAACTTACAGAGTTAAAAGAGACATTTAGTCTAACAAAGAACTATTTTTTTCTGTCTCACAGATGTTTCCATATGTGGATGCCGCCATTTTATTTGACTTTATCCTTTACTTCTTTAGACACTGAGAATTTGTAGATTTCTAACCATTCTAGTCATCTTAGTTAATGTATTAGCTTAAAAAATACTTAAAATGTGTTATCCACTCTTAAAACTCAGCCTGTAGATGTGGTCAAATAGAGTGGGACCGTTAATTGTAGATTAGTGGCCAGTTTTATGTAAAAGCATTAGGCTAGGTAGTGTGAAATCAAGAAAAATATCTGAGCTAGAAAACTATACCTCGGACTCTAGAACTTCATTTTGTCACTTTTGTATATTGACTTTTAAATAACTTTTTCTAGCTGATATCAGGGTAAAGTTTTGTAATGCTACCAAATCATTGTCTACCAAATGCTACTAAATCACCCCACTTTGGATGTTTAATAATAGCTTACATTTAGCTCTTGGCAGTCTACCTAATGCTTTCACATATATGGTCACATGTAATCCTCAGGTAGGTATTATTATTATTACCATTTTACAGATGGAAAAAATAATTTCTTCAAAGTTACACAGTTGATAAAGTGGCAGAACCTGTTTCAAATTCAAGTCTTTCTGATCCCACTGGCTTGTCCCACAACTAACTTACCAAGAGGTCTCAATTTAAAATTTCTCTTGATTTGAAGGGATATGTGGCTGTCATGTTGATATTCAGTATTTCATGCTTTTCAACTGTTTTCTAATTCATACACTTAACAGAGTTACCAGAACCAATGTTAGTCTTCCTCCAGTATTAAGTCACTATTTATTTTGACATAAAATATTAACCAGATTGTACAAATTCTTCTCAATTACTAATAAGGAAGAGCTAAGCTTCACACATACTTAAAAAAAAAAAAAACAAACCAAAACCATCCTTGCACCTAAACTTGCTATATAGAACGAGGTTTTGGAATTTGGGATGTATAGCTGTGACTTAAAAACACTTTTTGTTTTGAAGTATAGTTGATTTACAATATCGTGTTAGTTTCAAGTGTACAGCATAGTAATTTAGTTATTTTTTCAGATTCTTTTGGGGTGCATGTATCTCTTCCAGTGAGAGTTTTACAAATCAAGTTTTGATTCTTCCTAATGCTTTGGTTTTCTCACACTTCTACAGCCTTGATGTACTGGATATTTATAAAACAATTTGGAGTAATTAAACTCTGCATTCTTGTTTTTGTGTACAGCTTGGAATGGTGGAATGGATTGAACCTCCCAAACGAGAACGCAAAGCAAACTACGCTGTGGATGCCTACTTCAGAGAGGCTTTACGTGTTAGTGAGCCGAAGGTTCCAAAGGTAAAGCAGTGTGAGGCCAGGTTTCATGTCCTATAGCAGAATTCTCTTGTAGCATGGTCTCTGATTCAGATTTACTTATATTAGTGCTAAATCTTAGCCTCTAAAAAATAACAATACAGAAAAGTACTTGATATGCCCCAGCCTTATGAATGGATTCCATTGTATTTATTTTTCTACATATAAAAGAAATAATAAAAGATAAGTTCACTTCATGAACTGAAAATATGTGTGTAATGCATTTTTTTCCCCCACAGGCTCCACGACCTCCAAAACAGCCAAATGTTCAGGATTTTCAATTTTTCCCACCACGTTTATTTGAGCTCCTTGAAAAGGAAATTCTTTATTATAGGAAGACAATAGGCTATAAGGTAACTTTTCAGTTTTTTAGATTAGCATAATATAATCTTTTAAGCTAATGTAATGTATTAAGCTAGACTAGAAAGTGTTCCATTTTAATGTGAGAGAACCTAAGAGTAAATAAATATAGTGGTGTTTTTAAAATCAAAGAGAAGGTTTTACTAGAAGTAAAGCATCAAACTACCCAGTCACCAGTGAGATCATCACAAAATGAGATTAATGGAGAATTATCTACTATTTCAAAAATATTTAAAAATATTAAAATTTCATTTTATTTTAATAATGCTAGTGTTCAAGTGTTCAAAGAATATGTAGAATAAGCAATAGGTATGTATTTAGATAGAAGTGAATGTATGGTAGATGATAAGAAATTTTTGATTGTTTTCCTCAAAATGACCAAGAAATAGTATTTTCATGTTGATTGTTCATAGATTGATAGAAGCCCCGTTGGTGGTTAATAGATTATGTTCACTTAGGTGTTAAAATAATGATATGATAGTGAATTGTGGAATTTAAAAATGATCTTTTGGAATTCAAATTTCTTATTTATATAGGTAGATAGGAACCTATTTATAGTGAGTGAAATTTAAAGTTTGTGATACTAAAGCTATCACATTGAGAGATTAAGCATTCCAGGCTATTTCTGTATGTTGAAATTGGCTTCCTAGTGAATGGAAAGAGATGACCAAGGGTATAATAATTGATAGTATGAACAAAATTATGCAGATATTAACACTCATATAATTTTATGAAGACTTTTGTTTTATGAATTGAAAGCTGTGTTTTAAAATTTATTGTGAATCTTTGTCACAAGTGGAACTATGACCAATCATTTTGATTAGTAGCTGTCATGTGCCTAGAAGAGCTCCATATATGTGTATATATATACACACATATATATATGTGTGTATATATATATAAGATATTTAATTAGTTCATATTTTGGAACTGAATGACTCTCTGGAATGTTTCTACTATGTGTCCAGAGTTGGAGCACTGTCTTTTGAAATAGAACAAAAAAGTTTTGCTTGCTGTTTATGTACCAAAGTTTAGATATATTTAAATAGGGATAAGAAACTTAAGGTGAATGTGAGTGGAAATGTATATATAAATAGGAACAAGAAAGTTAGGGTGAATATAAATGTAAACATTTATAAATAAAGTGGTTAGTTATAATCTGGTTAGGGAAATGTGATTAAATTTGAATGTATTTAACCAACAGGACTGGATAAAATCCTTCTTAGGAAGTTGTAGAAGAGTAAAGTACTCGCGGTTGAACATCAGATCAGGTATAAAACCAGCTTCAAAGAAAGTGAAAACAGCGATACGTTCGAAGAAACAGGGAAATTATAGGTTCAAAATGTAAAATAAAAATAGTAAAATTAATAACGTAGTGAATAAGATTTCATGAGGTAAGCATATATATACATGATCCCACTAGGGATTATTAAACATTTTAGATCATTATTTTCTGTTACTTTTATTGACTGTTATTAGTGAGACTTGAAAGGAGAATCAAATTGAAATGTTAGACCTCAGTTAGTAATCAACCAAATATCTGTGTAGAACATCTTATAATTGAATAATGCTTTACCACTTCATTTGATTTCTAAGAAATGCTATGAGATAGGTGTTGTTTTCACCTCTATATAATAGGTGAGGAAACCAGTTCGGAGAGGTTAAATGACTTGTTCAAGGTCAGGTAGCTAACAGAGTTGCCAAAGGTGCTGGTCTCAAACACAGGTCCTAAGCATTCAAATGCTATGCTCCTACCACTCAGACATTTGGGGCTATTTCTGCATGTGACATAACTCTGCTTCTTTCTGCAGCCCTAAATAAGGACTGTGTTTACAGTGGTTTGACATGGGAGGTGAGCCAAGTGGTAGTCAAGTAGCAGCAATAAAAAAATCACCTCTGCTAATATAGCTGCTTATATTCCTTCTTTGGAGATACTGAAATTCTGTTCCCTGTGATAATATAGTGCCCACCACATTCTCACCACAGCTCTGGTTTTAATGTAAACAGGGACTGGCACTACAGGCAATTCTGGTTAGGGGTTGGGGGTCTTACATGAACAGTTGAGCAGTGGCCAGCTGGAAGGAGATGGAGGAGAGAGGAAACTTTACAAGAGAGAGGAATGAAAGTACAACTTTTAAAGGGTGATAGGGAGGAAGATGTGAGAAGAGAGGAAAGGGATGAGTGATGAAAGGGAAGATGGCGTGGAATCCATGCTATGGCACCTTCCTGTGTTCTGTTCTTTACCTCCTGGAGAGAGGTGACAAGAAAGGGAGTGTGAGTGAAAGGAGGGCTGTTTTTCATTTGACACATATTCATCGAGTGCTCCCCCGTGCCAGATTCTGTGCCAAGCTCTGAGGATAAACTGGTGAATAAGACAAGGGGGTTCCTCACACATGGTACTTACATTTTAACGGGGGACACAGACATTACGCTGAAAGCACAAAGTAGTTACTTTATTTGGTTTCATTGCTTACAAAGGGTGCTACGAGGGAGCATAACATGGATATCTAATATGGACTGGGAGGTCAGGGAGGTGGTCTCTAAGGATCAGCATTTAAGTTGAGATCAGAGAGATGCATAGGAATTAGCCAAGTGAAGTATGGAAGAGGATCACTAGGTTGGGGAGCCACAGATACAGAGGTGTTGTAGGAAGGAAGAGTGTCCCTTTAGAAACTGAAAGAAGGCCAGTGTTGCTAGGGAGTGGTGAGAAGGAGAATGATTGATGAGTGGGTTGAGTTGGATCATGTGGAGCATTGAACATTAATTATAGGTCATATTAATCAGTTGAAACTTTAGAGCAAAAGAAAGCCTTTGAGATGTTTTTTTAAGGTAGAGGGGTAGGTGGGCGATGGAATAATAACAGCAGATACTTATTTAGTCCTTACTTGTGTTGCTTACTCTCCTCAGTTGTTTAAAATGATTAGCTCATCCTTCTCAGAAGAGCCCTGAAACTACATACCTATTTTACAGTTGGGGAAACTGAGGCATAGAGAGGTTGAGTAATTTGCCTTGAGTAATTTGCTCAAGGTCAAAGAGGTAGAGTATGATCAGCTTTACATTTTTAAAAACCACTCTGGCTGCAACAGAGAATGGTGAGTTTCTCCAGGGAAACCAGCCAGGAAGCTGCCACAGTGTGAAGATGAAAAGATGGAGGTGGCTGGGAGTGTGGTGGTGGGTTGGAGGTGGAAGGAGAATGATCCCTTGGCACTCCACTCCTAGTCCCAAGCTCTCCTCAGCCCCATCCTGGATTGCCTTTGTATTGTCTTAAGACTTCCCTTGGTCCTCCATATGCATACTTAGCTGAGGATTTACAAGACAAAGAAGAAAATATCCTGGATGTTGGTTCTTTCTGAACCTTGTCTCTTCCATTCTTTACCAGGGGCTACAGACCTGAGCTAAGGTGGGTGCTTTAATTGGGTGGGTCTTGTGTTTGAGTACGGTTGTCCCTCAGTATCTGCGGGGCATCGGTTCCAGAAGCCCCCACAGGTACCACAATCCGTGGATGCTCAAGTCTCTTAAATAAAATGGCGTAGGATTTGCATGTAACCTATGCAAATGTGTCCATATATTTTACATCATGTTTGTATTACTTACATTACCTAATCCAATGTAATTGCTATGTAAATAGGTATAAATACAATGTGAATGCTATGTAAATAGTTACCTGCATGCAACCAAAGCCAATTCACGTTTTACTCTTTGGAACTTTTTGGAATTTTTTTTTCCCGAATATTTTTTTATCTGAGGTTGCTTGAATCCACGGATGCAGAACCCACAGATACAGAGGGCCGACTGTATGGACAGATGAGCATGGCATGTTAATCATCTGCAAAAGCTTCCTGTTAAGGACGATGTGGTATTGATAAGTGTTGGGCATATCTTCTCAAGGATATCTAGCATTGATTTTTTTCCTCCTACTAAACCTCCAGAAAACTCAACCCGAGCCACAAAAGTGAACGGAGCAATAGTTTGTTCTCAGATAAACGGGACCGTTGTGTTGAGTTTCCTGATATTCTGTACATAGTTAAGCTCTCAAAAAGGGACTCCTCTCCCCCTTTTTGCATAAATGATTGTTAGCCCAGGGATTAGAGGTTCTGTGTGAAGCTGGGGTCACTGTGGTGCATGGTTCCATTTTGCCCATTTTGAGTTCCCACAGTCACGTTCTGTAGTGACTTGGGGTGGAGCTAGTGAGGGACTCAGTAGGTTTGAAGCAGTTGGTAAATAGCATTTTTCTCCAGGGCCTGCTTATTTGCATTTTTATTTCCTGTTGTGTTTTTTCCGTTCCATACTCGGCATGACAAAGTCACAGCAGTATTGTTGATAATAAGATCTGGAATTGAAGAGTTTTGTTTTATTTGAAGCTGAGAGAAGTAGTTGTTTTGCTCTCACCGCTTGGTGGAGAGCTGTGTATCATATGCCTCTTTTCCCTGCTGTCTCCTTGTTGCAAGTTAGACATATTCAGAAGCTTCATTGCTCTTGTGACTTAAAGGAGTTACCCTAATGCTTTTAATTACTTGTTCACTAAAATCTTTGTGTTGGAAGAAGGTGACTGAATTGAAATTTCAATTGCAGAATTTTAAAAATCCAGAGTATCCTGAAGTCCCATGGAGTCTAAAGACCTGCAGTGAAAGAGTTTTGCCGTAGTAGAAGCTGAAGAAGGCTGTAGAACATTCTAACATATATCTTCAGTAAAACAATTCTTTAGAAGTGGATGTAAACATTTGACAAATGCAGGGAAGTTCTATGATCTTTGTGAGTTTTGGTAATGTGTCATTGTGGGCCACCTGTTTTGCTGTGGTAGAACTAAAATACGTGAGTTGATTTCAGGTCACTACTTTCATTTTGTGTGTTGTCACATTTAATTCTGTACTCCATATTTCTATGAAATGCTTGCTGAAACTCCTAAGAAACATGACCCTCCAAAAAGTTTTTCACTTTTCCGTGGAACATAGCTCTTAATCACAAATTCCTTGCAGTCTGACTAGAAATCTAAATAATAATTGAGCTGTTCTCTTGAAAGATAACTTCTTGTATGTTAAGTGTTGCTGGGGACCATCAGTGAGATATATACAGTATGATTACTTGAGATACTATCTAGGTATCTGTTTAGTCTATTGGCCTATAATTTGTCTATTTAATTCTTTTATAGCACTTTGAGATCAAGGGAAGCTTAATGCTCATAAAACCTCATGAGGTGAAAAATGAATACCTTTTAAAAATAATAAATATTAAGAAGTAGATTATTTGTAGGAGAGACAGGAATTTAGGAATTTTGAGTCATTTCTAATTAAAAAATTCTAACAGCTATTTTTGAGTAATTTTTAGAATTAAAATAGTAAATGTAAAATTAAATGTCATTCTCAAGTTTTGCTGTATTAAAAACAGGAGCAGTGGATCCTAAAATCTAATGGGTATAATGTAATATTCTGTAAATTCAAGGGGTGAATTTTTAGTGTTGGGGAATATCTACATAGGAATAAGCAGTTTATTTTGTGTTGGTGTATTATCCATTTTCTATCATAAAAATGAGGTATTTGTGAAATTTTTTGTTAAAGTAAGGGTTTTTGGGTATGCAAAGTTCGAAGCTATTTGGTAGAGCAATATCTTAAGATTAAATAGGTTTTCCTCAATTAAAATTAAAATTTGAGGCCAAAGTAACTTCACCAGCAATTTAAGGAGGTCTGTTAAACTTTTAAAGCTGTGTCTGTAATTTTTTCAACATTTTATTATGAAAAAATTTCAAATATAGAAAAATGTTGAAATAATTATACAGTGAACACCACATATATTCTCCAATTTACATCTTACTATATTTGCTTTATCACCTATTTAACCATTTCTCCAGCTTTCTATCAAATGAATATTCTTATTTTTTAATGCATTTCTAAGTTGCAGACATATTTCACCCAAAAGCACTTTAATATGCATATTATTAGCCAGAGTTCAATATTTATTTGATTTTTAAGATAAAATTTATATACACTGAAATATATAAATCTTGTGTATCACTTGATGAATTTTGACAAATGGTATGCCCACATAACTGATGTCCCTACAAAAATGTAGGACATTACTGTCACCCCAGAAAGTGCATCTTTCCAGTCAATTCCCAAACCCACTCCTCAGACAGACTCACTGTTCTGATATTATTTTCCTCTGTAGATCAGGTTTTTTGTTCTGGAGTTTCACAGAAATGGAATCGTATAATATTTGTAAGGCTTCTTTCACTTAGCATAATGTTTTTGAGATTCATCCATGTTGTCTCATTATCAATGGTTCATTCCTTTTTATTGCTGAGTACTATTCCATTGTAAGGAAATAGCACAGTTTGCTTATCTAGTCTCTTGTTGATGGACATCTGGACTGTTTTCTGGATTTTGGCTCTTGTAAGTAAAGCTATTGTAAGCATTCTCCTAAAAGTCTTTGTGATAGTTCAGAGTGAAATTGCTGGTGTGCTGGTAATCTAACAGTGGAATTTAGCTATTGAAAAAAGTTACGTTAAACCATGCATATCACTGAACTACACTTCATTTTTAATTTACAGCTTCCTTTTCATTTCCATTTGCTATCATCCTAGGTCAGGTGATCATACCTCATTTCTAGACTAGTTTAGCTGGTTCTCTTGCCTCTAGTCGCTTCCCTACTTCAGTCCATCCAGCACAGGTGATATAACACTACTCCCTTGTAATCTCCAGTGGCTTGCTGTTGCCTACTGTGTGGTTTGAGAAGGCCTTCTAATTCCGTCTCCACCTGGCCTTGTTTCTTATCCCTTCTCAACATAAACTCTATATTTGCTCCTTTCGGTTTTTGCCTTCACTGTTTTTGCTTTACTGCTCCAGCCTAGAATATTCTTCCTCTCTTTTCCATCTCCCCAGATCTTTAGAACTCTTAGAGTACAGCTCAGAATTCCACAACTAGGTTGTGAGCTCCTTGTAGGCAAGGACCATGTTGGCTACTTTTTATATTCCAGTGAACACCTGTCATAGTGCTATGGATAAAATAGACATTTAGTCAGTACTTACTAATTTGATTGTCTCATACTGATGATTACAAATGAATCTGTTTTTTCAGTATTTCTTTAAGACGTTTACTTTTGGCCACACCATGCATGTGGAATCTTAGTTCCCTGACCGGGGATCAAACTTGTGCCCTCTGCATTGGAAGCACAGAGTTTAACCACTGGACCATCAGGGAAGTCCTTCAGTATTGGTTTTTAATTGCCCAGTTAGTAGGTTTCGTATTTAAACAACTACTGGATACAATAGTTTTTTAAAACATTTAAGTTACAATCCTGTGGTTGAAACACTATGAAATATGTATAATGATTAGAGAGATATACCCTAATATGCATTTATAATTACATCACAGTAAAACCGTGACTATTTGATACCCTTGGAGGATGAGTCATTTATGATGTGCATTCCAAACAGTGGAAGGCTTACCATCAATCCTGTTCTTGCCATATTTAATGGAATGCTATAAATAATGTACTATATATGTTATATACCTGCCCTCCTAAATCAATGTGCTGCATTGTCACTGCAGATGCACTTAAAAATGATGTGAGGCTTTGCGCTGAGTAACTTAGTTTATCACTCCATACAGTGAATGCTGCTCCATACTGCTGAACTGTACGGGTTGTCTGTGTTCATGGGGCCACACGGAGGCCCCTGGGGCTACAGTTTTGAGATACAGATGACTGGCTGACTGCTTGCTTCCTTGTAGAGCTGAGCTTCTGTCCTCAGTCTTTTGAATTTGAGCTCTCTTCTCAGTTGTCAGTGTATTGCAGTTCTCTATACTATGCAGAGATGTATAGTATACACTACACTTTCTGTTGGTCACGGCTGCTGTAGTCTTTTTCCCTTGACTGCAGGCCCCATTGCAGCTGTTTGTGTGCTTTGCTTATCCCTTCCCTCTTATATATATATATATATATAGTCTCTTTCTTTCTCTCTCTCTCTCTTTTTTTTTTGCTTCTTCTTTATCTGTCAGTTCTTTCAGTCTTTGCATTTTATGTGAAGATGGTCTCTCTTTCCATACCCTGGCAGGCAGTAAAAGCACTCCTTTCTTTTTGCACGCTGAACTGATCAGAGCATTGGATGCAATCTTCAGGTGCATTGCCACTTCTATACCCTGGTCTATATTGCCAGGTGAATATGGACTCTTTCCGTATTACCAGACTTTTTGTTTCTGGGCTTGAGATTTTATTGTATAATGTTGGTGTTGGGGATAATGATATTATTACCATGTATTAACGATATCATAGGGATGTTTTTTTGTTCCACAGTATGATTAAATCTAGAATATAATGTGGCATTTAGCAATGGGTTTTTAACTATAAAATACCACATGGCACATTTAAGAACGATTTTACTTTGGTAATATCATGGTAGTAGAAATGTGGAGAGAATCGTGTGTCATGGTATGATAATTTACTGTTGAAGTAACTCTACATATTGATACAAGTATGTATACCCCTAATTAATTTTTCTCAACAGTTTACTCATAATACATCTCTCGATCTTTAGGTCCCAAGGAATCCCGATATCCCAAATCCAGCTGTTGCTCAAAGAGAGGAACAAAAAAAGATTGATGGAGCTGAACCTCTTACACCAGAAGAGACTGAAGAAAAAGAAAAACTTCTCACACAAGTAAAATATTTTAAGCGATTGAAATACTTCTAGTCAACAAGTAGAAGAAAAGGAAATATAGATTACACTTACTTTTTATTGTATGGGCCTGGTACCCTGATCAGACACACCAGCACAGCACAGGGCCTTAGTGTAGACATACAGTTAGATCAGCTGTCCCTATATTTTAATCCCTTACATAAAACAGTTTTGGAAATACTAAAAGATACATAAATGAAAAATATGTGTCAATTATTAGAAATAAGACATGCATTTTATCAATTATACTAAAGTCACTTAACCCACATATGAATCCTGATAGACAATAATTACTAGCATATTCTTAAAAATTTATTTTATTGATTATGAACTGTCCTCTGAAATTATACTCTACTAATCTTTTATTTATGGAATGGCTTCATAATTCTCAAAATGCTTCATATCCTTTCTTGAAAAGAACTTTAATACAATGGTGAGAAATTTCTGAAACTTTTAGAGATACTCATTGTATAGTTAAAAGTTAGTAATTATTAAATATTTAAATAATATTTATATTTAATAACAAATATAAACATTTTCATTTGAACAATATATTAATGCTTTCTGGTCATTGTTGCTTTAATGAGTTTTATGAGTGACATACTTCCAAAATAACCTGTAGAAGATAAAAAGAATTACAGTGCAAAAGATACTTGCAAAATAATAAATAAAAATGTGTTCTACCTTAGTATAGAAAATAGCCAGCAAGATTTATCATTCAACAAATTCTTTTGAGCGATATGCAAAGCCCAGTGCTAGGAAATTTTCCATATTAATTATTGAAAGTTCATTTTTATATTTATATCTTATTTATTATATAGATCTTTTCTTTGTTATAACATGTGATTTTATTGAATGAATTTTTACAAATTACATTCATAAGTTTCTGAGCCAAATGCCTGGAAGTGATAAAGTTCAGTTGGAAAATGTAATTGCAGCTGGCTAAATATTAGGACTTACCATAGAATAAAATAAAACATTTAAATATTCATGTTTTATTTTCAAAATTTATTTCCTGAACACAAAAATAAAAGTTATGGTCTTAGAATGTTCCTTGGCTGGCAGTATATTGTAAATGTACAACATATTGTGAATATACAGTCTCAACTGAGAAATTGCTTTTGTTTGTAATTAGAAACAGAATCAATTTTTTGCCTCTCTTAGTACTTGAAGTCATCTTTAGTCATTTTTCTTTACTGCCCTAAATAATTCTTTCAAAAAAATCACAGGAGTACAAAGGAACAAAATGTGGGGTAATTGGAAAACTTTATCAACTAGAGGTTAGGGATGGAGTTTTGCTTTGTTGAGGGTATCACATTTATGTGAGTTGGGACAGGAGGAGTGGAAGACAGAAATTTAGTCTTGTGACTTCAGAGACATGCTAATAAATACCAAAGAGACTGAAAACACTGATAGGTCAAACTGTTCTCTTTTAGGAAAGAAATCAAGTGGGCCCAATAACACCGTTTATAGAAATCCTATTTATGAATATAATTTTGAACAGAAATTATTTATTCATAGTAGTTTGGAATGATGTAAAGAGTTACAAACATTTTCTTCAGTCTTTTTTTCTTTATGTATTTTTTTTATTTAAAGCATCCACATTTTTTTCTTAATTTACATGGGAACACATCTGTGAAAAAAATGAAGTACTGGAATATCCAAGACTTCAGCATTTATATTAACATTTTTATTTTATGCATTTGTATTTTAATGTAGTAGGCATCTATAAAATATGGAGTTAAAACTATATAATATCTTGGAACTATAAATCAGTTTTTAGTACTTACAGGGAAATATATTCTCTTTATGATAGAAAAGCAGTTATTTTTGCAGTAACACTAACTCAACTTGATTCCAACATAAAAAAACCTGAGATTTTATAAGGAGAAAAATTTTAAGTCTTTTGACCTCTTTTTAATGTATTGTTGTATAGAGCTAAATAGAATAACATTTGGAGTTGTTAATTTAACCTCTATTGATGATGCTTGCTTTTTTGTTCACAGGGATTCACAAACTGGACTAAGCGAGATTTCAATCAGTTCATTAAAGCTAATGAGAAATATGGAAGAGATGACATTGATAATATAGCTCGAGAAGTGGAGGGCAAATCCCCTGAGGAGGTCATGGAGTATTCAGGTTTGTATATATAACTTCAAAAATGGTGTTTTACTTGTAACCTTATGCATTTCTTTGTGTCAGTTTAATTATACCTTTGTTCAGAGACCTTTAGACTTTTATGAATAAACTGTAGGTAAAAGTATAAAATATAATTGCATTTCTATGAAAAGATGATAAGACTTACAAAAACAAATTGCTGTTGTCCCTGCTAGCTAGCTAATAGAGCCAAGTATAGCACCGATAAAACAAGGGTTCTGGGCAAGTCAAGTCTAAGACTTCAGTTTCAGTGGATGGAATTAGTGTTTTTCTAGGTTGTCCTTGAAGTAGAGAATTCCTATCAGGTTCTTTTAGATCCTCAGACACTCTCAGGGTTCCAGTTTGCTCCAGGGAGGTTATATGAATTGCATTAACTCCAGGCAAGCTGGAGTAGATCTGAAAAGACTGCTTGAATAAATTTGTTGACAGGTCCTGGAATCAACTCCCTCTCTTACTCAGCTGTGTCTTTGGTCTTGACCAGAACTAAATTATGTGCCAAAGCATATGGAGTGGATACTGATTTCCATGTCACAGTGCAGCCAACCTCAGGCTTCTGAAAAGAAATCTTATTAAAATAGACAAGTATGTGTAGTAAGTTTTCTTTATGTAGGACATAGGAAGTTTCTGAAGTCCAAATAGGTTGAGTTCTCAAATTTAGCCACTTCACTCTTTCACTTTTCACTTTCACGCATTGGAGAAGGAAATGGCAACCCACTCTAGTGTTCTTGCCTGGAGAATCCCAGGGATGGAGGAGCCTGGTAGGCTGTCGTCTATGGGGTCGCACAGAGCCGGACATGACTGAAGCGACTTAGCAGCAGCAGCAGCCCCTATATAGAACCTAGGACATTTTTCCCCATAGAAATGTTACAAAGTAGGTTTAGATTTCTGTGCTAGCCCCTCAAAGCCTACTTAGCCTAACAAGTGAAATTCTATATTTTTGCTGTGAAAAATAGTAGGGAGGAAACATTGAAATACTAATAAATATGCCAAAGATTAATACAGACTAGGAACAACTTCTAATTAATTTATTTTTTAACTTCTAATTTATTTATAGTGCTAGTGCTTGAATAAGTCTATGTGTAATTAGGGAGAAGATACTTTATTTTTCTTTTGGAAATGTGAAAGAGCCTTCTGGTGATTGCCAGGGACTTTAGAGGTGGATTATATTGAGTTATTTCGTGTAGTATAACATCAAGTCTATGAATGTTCTTTACTTTGATGCCAGGATAACATTACTACTGCTGTTAACATTTGCCGCTTAAGTTTAGGGCATTTGGAAACTTAAAAAGGGGTAAAATAGAGGAGAGAGTTAAATTTTAGCCACAAGAGTTGAATGAAAATCGTGTAAAAAAATACGTGCTGAGAAATTTTCTGAAGTAGAATTTTCTTCAAAAGATAGGAAGGGGAATAAGCATCAATGTGTATGAAGTTGCAAGAAAAAAAAAGTTGATTAAAGAAGATATTATGTCAGATATTCCTTCAAATTGACACCAGGCCAGGTAGGATGACTAACTCAGGACAGCTTAATTGGGGCTGTGCTAGAGGATATAATGTTCAAATAAAAACATAGCTTAAATCAATATCTGTAGTATCTTTTGAAATTCTAGTCATCTGAGATGGATAATCAAAAACTTCATAATAGGGACGTCCCTGGTGGTCCAGTGGCTAGGACTCCACTCTCCCAATGCAGGGGGCCTGGGTTCAATCCCTGGTTAGGGAACTAGATCCCGCATGCTGTAACTAAGATAGAATATCTTACCACTTACCACGACTAAGACCTAGTGCAGCCAAATAAATAAAAAATAAATAAAGTAGGAAAAAAGCTTCATAATATTTCATGAAAGGAAAATTGCTAACCTAAAATCTTCTTGTTGAGGTCTTACTTTTAAATGAAAAGAGTTATTGAATATCGCTCATTTATTACACCTTAAGAGTATTTAATAATTTATATATATACACACACACACATGTCAAAGTGAAACTGAAGTTACTCAGTCATGTCCAACTCTTTGCGGCCCCATGGATTGTAGCCTATCAGGCTCCTCCGTCCATGGGATTTTCCAGGCAAGAGTACTGGAGTGGGCTGCCATTTCCTCCTCCAGGGGATCTTCCCAACCCAGGGACCGAACTTGGGTCTCCTGCATTGCAGACAGACACTTTACCGTCTGAGCCACCAGGGAAGCCCTGTGTATATGCATATATATATGTGTGTGTGTGTGTGTGTATATATATATATATATATATATATGTCTATATATACTGATGAATCTGAATCTTAAGTATAAACAGTATAAGTTTACTGTATCATTTCCTGCTAAGTCTTCATTCTATAGTTCCTTGGATTCATTTATGTAAGATGACAGAATTGTGAAATAATAACTCTTGTTTTTTTCAGCTGTGTTTTGGGAGCGTTGCAATGAATTACAGGACATTGAGAAAATTATGGCTCAAATTGAACGTGGAGAAGCAAGAATTCAACGAAGGATTAGTATCAAGAAAGCCCTGGATGCTAAAGTACTATATTTCCTAACTGTCAAATTACCAATAGATTGTTTCAATTGATGATTAAATGGTGGTTGGCTTTGACTTATTATTACTGCACATTTAGTTAGAAGCACTATTTTGTTTAAATCTATAGATTGCAAGATACAAGGCTCCATTTCATCAGTTACGTATTCAGTATGGAACTAGCAAAGGAAAGAACTATACTGAGGAAGAAGATAGATTCCTGATATGTATGTTACACAAAATGGGCTTTGATAGAGAAAACGTGTATGAAGAATTGAGACAGTGTGTTCGGAATGCTCCTCAGTTTAGATTTGACTGGTTTATCAAGTCTAGAACCGCCATGGTATGTATTCCTTTCTTGCTTATTTCCTCCTACTTTTTATTTTGAAAAATTTCAAACGTCACATATCCTTCACTTAGATTCTGTAATTGTTGACATTTGCCACATTGGCTTTCTCTTCTTACTAGTGTATGCGTATGTGTATATATATGTATATGTGTGTGTGTGTGTATATACTTACATACATAGAATCTATCTATACAAATAGAATCTATATATTATACTCAGGAATTCAGAAACAGCTATATTCAGAAATCTAGATCTGTATTTTCTATTTATTAATATACAGATCTATGTTTCTGAACCATTTGAAAGTAGGTCACAGACAACATGTGTTCACCTCTAAATACTTCAGCATTTATCTCCTAAGAATAAGTGTTTATCTCTTAAATAAAAATATTTTCCTCCATGAGCACAATACCATCATCCTACCTGAAAATGTTAACATTGATTCAGTAGTATCATCTAGTATACAGTCCATGTACAAAATTTTCCACTTGTCCCCAAAGTATCTCTCACAACTGTTGTTTTAAATTGATGAGCCAGTCACAGTTCACATATCGCATTTGGTTGAGTCTCTTTAGTCTCTTCAATCTACAACTTTTGTTTTTTACAACAGTGACTTTTGTAAGGTACCCAGGCTCACTTTGTAGAATGCCCAATATGTATCTCATTGTTTGCTCACAGTTAGATTTAGGTTAAGCATTTTTGGCAACAGCCTGCCTAAGTGAAGTGTATTATATCACATCAGGAGGCTCATTATGTCAGGTTGTCACACTCTTGGTGATGGTGAGTTTGATTACCGGGTTTATTGGTGGCCATCAGAGCTCTCCACTGTAAAGGTAGTTTCCCCTTTGTAATGAGGCAGGTGATATTTGAGACTGTGTGAATAACTTAAGAATTTATTTTTAATGAGAAGTAATTGTTGCCTGAGTTTTTGTAAGAATATCATGAAACTGAATAATTAAGAGATTTTATTTTAGCTTGATGTAATTTCCTGTTACTTTCTGACATGAATTGTGTTTCTATTAAATCCTAATGCCGCTTAGCAGTGTTCTTGGTGGTATGGAAGTAAATGCTGGTATGGAAAGAGTCGTGTTCGACTCTCTGTGACCCAATCCCATGCACTATACAGTCCATGGACTTCTCCAGGCCAGAATACTGGAGTGGGTAGCCTATCCCTTCTCCAGCAGATCTTCCTGACCCAGGAATCGAACCGGGGTCTCCTGCATTGCAGGTGGATTCTTTACCAACTGAGCCATCAGGGAAGCTGGAAATAAATGCAACATGTTTTAATGTTGGCAGTGTCAGTCTTTTGTTAGTTGAGGTAATTAAGACAAAAATAGATTCATATAGCCTAAAAGAGTTGGACACGACTGAGTGACTGAACAACAACAACGAAACATTAAAAGTAGCCAGAAACCAACAATCCAAACAATGGACATTTTTCTTTAGTTTCTATCATAAATGTTTTCTTGGCCAAAAGTTCATAGAGATGTGAAGCAATGCTAATATTTTGTCTGACCCATTTTATATTCTCAGTTCAAATTGAATAAAAAGAAAAGAAAAGTCTGAGTTGCTATATTGAAGGCTAATTTTGGTGGATGCTTTATAAATCAGATATTTTGTGTTAAAACTTTAACACAAATTTAGAGTGTTCCTGGATTGTTATTAGACTGTGTCTATCAAGTTTGTGGAATACATAATACTGAGAGAGGTAGCAAATACTTTGGATCAAGCCAGAATACAAAAGGAACTAGAGAAATTGTAATGATGAATCGATTGAATCTCCCTTGTTACATGACAGTAATAGGGATGAATGTAAAGTGCTGTACTTGTATAAAAGAATAGGAAGAGGTATAAATGTTAATAATACACAGTAGAAATAACTGAGGAAAGAATAAAAGATGAGGATTAATCTGTAGCATGAAGGACTGATGTTGGAGGGAAGAGTTATTTGACAGGTTCTTTGGATTGTTGAAATAGACTATTGAAGAACAGTGTAGAATAGCTTTTCTATTAGCTTTGAAAATTAAATTCTATTTTGACAGTCTGAAGACTTTGGCAGTAAGCTTGTTGGCCTTTTAAGGTGCCTTCTAGCTTGGTGGATCTATGACCATGTTTAGCAGAGAACTCCTTTCAGAAGCCAGGCATTAAAAATTTTTAGCCATTTGGGGTTTTATGCATATGGTGATCTAACTTACAGCAGCATTAACAGCTTGTAAAAGACAAATGCCCACCTGCATTTGTTGAATTATGTTTTAGATCATACATACCCTTTTATGTGATGGAACATTTGCAGAGTTTTGTGTATTATTTCAGTGATATTTTACTACTTTTTAAAGGTTGAGTTTAATGCTGTTTTCAGTTTCTGGAAACATTAAGCTAAAGCAGTAGGGTGAAACAGATTCAGAAGTGCAGGGAAAATCTTATATTATTTGTAACATGAACATGACTGTAGAACTATGTAACCTTATTTCATTTTCCAGGAAAAAACCAAGTGTATTGTTAACGACCACTAGATGTCTCTGAACTCCCTTGTAAAGAATCTTTTCCTCCATCTTTCTACAAAACATTCACATCTTTCTTTACCAAGAGGTTTAAATCTCTAATGTATGTTTTTCAAAGAGTAGATATTAACTACATACGTGACTGAAAAATGAAACTTTTATTTTGTCTGTTAAAAACAAAGACAATTCTGTCCTTAATTATGTTCTGGAAGGTGGAATTTATGATTTCTAAAGAATCTTTAAAAACATAGTAGCTTATTTCATAGTGAATATTTTAATCCAGAATTTTTGTTAAATTTTCCAGCATGTCATTTCCTTCCTAGTTAATGGGTAATTTTTATGTATGTTTCTGGATCTAGACTATTTAGACCATCTTTTTAGAATATTTCATGATAATATAAATCATTAGGGAATTAAAAAATGGATTACTGTTATTTCTAGATGATCTCTTTTCGCCTCATTTTAAATGATTGGTCTTGTATAGTGGATCATTCACAATCTAGGAAGTGAAACTTCCCTCTTGAAGGAGGCAGTTGGATTTCCAAAATTAAAATAATTTACTTCATTGAAAAACCCCAAAATACAGAGGATATAACTTGATTCATTATGTGAGTGTGTCACTGTGTTCAAATTAACATTTTATTAATGATTAAACCTTAAACTTAGCTTACTAAAGAAGCTGTCTTTAAAAACAATCTCGCGGGGGACCGGGATGGGGAATACATGTAAAAAAAAAAAAAAAAAGATACACTATGGTTGTGATAAAAAATAAATAAATAAATAAATAAATTAAAAAAAAAAATAAAAACAATCTTGCTTAAAGATTACTTTTCCAGAGACACTAATAAATAGTGTGAAATGCTTAGAAAAAAATAGAAACTTTGGTAGTTATATTTTATTCAGAGATCTCAAACTACTGAATTCATGGCTTCTGACTTAACTAACAGTCTTAAAATGCTTAAAGGCATGAACCTTCACTTCTGAATATGCCACATTTGAAAGCCTTCAGCTAAAGGTTGAAAATTTCTTTGAGGCTCTTTTCTGTTTAAAAATGCTGGCTGTACAAAAGAGAAAATGAGTTTTAGTTCCATTTCTCTGTGCTAAAAAGATGGTGATTTCTTTCTCTGAGAAATTGTGTGGTCTTTAAGTAAGTAATCAGTCTCTATTGAACTACATAAACAAGTAGGAAGGATATGATCAATTTAGATTTTTAAGCTCAGAGCATATGAATTGCCTTAACCATTTTCCTTCTAAGAAAAAAATGTATTATAATGAGGTCTTAGTCTTAGGACATTTAACACTATCAGAATTAAAAGTATCTTTGCCAGATGACTATCAGAAGAAAAGATAATACTTTGAATAGTACCTTTTATACTATAAGGTTGCCAATCCCTTTATCAACAGTGTCTCATTAATTCCTTTTACTGAATGAATTTTAGGGCACTGTCTTCATTCATTTAGTGACAGACTGACATGACTGGGAGATTTGAAAAGAATCTGAGAAGTCTAAAAGATCTAGCACATTAGTCAGTTTACTGGAAAGGACAGATTGAAAGTATCCAGAGTTTAATTAGTAAGTCCTTGCTCCTGCTTAGGTTCTTTGAATTACTCAAAGGATAAAAAGCAGAATTTGGCTGTCTGAAATAAAGAACATTTCTTGATATAGCGACTGTGCTTCCTTGGCAAGGTTGCTCTGACTCTTCGTTTTAGCCAAAAAATATTCGTAATTTTTAGACTCTAGGGAGTTTTTTCTTTCCTCTCCTAGACTCTCAAGAAGCTCCGTGTGCATATCCTGTGGCCATGGACTTTAGAGTTGAATGAAAGTATTAATAATTAGTGATTACAATTGCCTTGCCTTTTGTGGTAATTCAAATGAATTTTTAAGGTAGTGTTTCAGAGAATCACACACTGTTGTACAATGTAATAAAAATTTCATGTTATTGCTGTTTGTTTTCAAATCACAGTTTTATTATTAATGAAAGTGTTCCTTATTTAAAATTAAGAACATGACATTCCTCATTAGAGTTGTAGGAGAAAAAAGACCTTTTAGAAAATATTGCTATAGCTTTTTATGAGCTTGCTTCCCTTTGTGTAGGTTTATCTGTGATAGTAAACATTAACTAAGTTATTAGTTCAGCATAGGATATTTGATAAATTATCTGTCCAGTCAGAGAAGAGTTTTCTTTATGTATACTTTAGAAAAACAGAAGTCAAGTTAAAAAATTTCCAAGCTATTCTGTAGTCACAATGACACTTTTGTTTGTTGCTTATGCAGTATAGACTAGGAAATTTTTTAAGGAAGGCCACTCATGATTTTTCATTTTATGTACTAGTACTTAATTGTGTGATAACAGCTAATATTGGTATCTTAGAGCATTACTTTCTTTTTTTTTAGTATCCTTTTATTATTATTTTTTTAAGCACAAATGCCCACACAACTTTGACTTACAAGGCAGTTCTATATATAAATTGTTAGTGACCTTGATATTATAA